CCACTGACATCTTCTCTTCCCTCCCCCATGCCTCCATTCTGTCCTGCAATAGGGTAACAAGAAGGGCCCCTTAGGCCGCTGGGACTTTGATACCCAGGAGGAATACAGCGAGTATATGAACAACAAGGAGGCTTTGCCCAAGTGAGTCTGGTACTGAATATGGGCAGGGAGTGAGGAGGAGGATGGGGATGGAGTGGCCTGGCTAACCCCAGGTTAGAGGATGCAGTCTTGACTGAGACATACTCAAATAAGTTGTCTGCCCACAGGGCCCTCTGGGAAAACATTGTTACTGCTGTGCAACCTCTGCTGCCTTCTTTCTCCTACCACCCTTTTTGTTCTCAGGGCTGCATTCCAGTATGGCATCAAGATGTCGGAAGGGCGGAAAACAAGGCGCTTCAAAGAAACCAATGACAAGGCAGAACTTGATCGCCAGTGGAAGAAGATTAGTGCAGTAAGTGGGACTGCACTCAGGGGTGGAAGGGCTCCAGCTGGGAGAAGACACTGACCCATAGACCTAGAAACAGACAGAGGGTTAAAGATGCATGGAAGTGGAAGAGGGGTCAGCTGGGCCTCAGGTGAGCTTAGACTGGCAGCATGACTGTCAACTGTCTTTTTTTTTTAAATTGTACTTCAGGTGAAGGCTTACAGAACAAATAGTTTCTCATCAAACAGTAGTACACGTATTGTTTTATGACATTGGTTAACAACCCCACAACATGTCAGCCCTCTAACTTACCAACCTTTTTTTTTGGTGAAAATACACATAGCCAAAGATACACCATTTCAAAAATTTCTACATGCACAGTTCAGTGACATTGACTACGCTCTTCCAATTGTGCTGTTATTCTCACTTAAGATGAAGGCTTACAGAACAAAATAGTTTCTCATCTAACAGTTACTACAAATGTTGCCCTATGACAATGGTTAACAATCTCACAACACATCAACAATATCCTTACTCAACCGTGGGTTCCCTATCACCAGCTTCCTTGTCCCCTTCTGCCTTTTGTTACTGGACTGCTGTACCTCATTAGTCTCATTTGGTTTTATGGGGCTGTCTACTCCCAGGCTGAACGGTGAACCTCGGAGATAACTTTACCACTGAGCTAAAAGGGTGTCTGGGGGCCATACTCTCAGGGTTTCTCCAGTCTCCTTTAGGCCAGTAAATCTGGTCTTCTTTTTGTGAGTTAGAATTATGTTCTACATCCTTCTCCAGCTCTGTCCAGAACCCTCTGTTGTGATCCTGGTCAGATCAGTCAGTGGTGGTAGCAGGGCACCATCTAGCTGTACTGGACTCAGTCCGGAGGAGGCCTTGGTAGCTGTGGACAATTAGTCCTTCAGACTAATCTTTTCCTTGTATCCTGTTCTCTTCATTCTCCCTTGCTCCCGAAGGGATGAGACCAATGGAGTATCTTAGATGGCCGCTCACAGGCTTTTAAGACCCTAGACACTACTCACCAAGGTAGAATGTAGAGCATTGTCTTTATAAGCTGTGTTATGCCAGTTGAGCTAGATATTCCCGAGACCATGGTCCCCACAGCCCTCTGCCCAGCAATTCAGTCCTTCAGGGAGTTTGGATGTGTCTGTGGGGCTTCCATGACCTTTCCTTGTACAAGTTGTGCTAGTTTCCCCTGTACTGTGTACTGTCTCACCCTTCACCCAAGATCCATCTCTTCTTTTTGCAGATCATTGAGAAGAGGAAGAAGATGGAAGCTGATGGGTGAGCAGCATCATTTTTTCTTTGTAACAATGAGAACTGCTTAGTGTATTGATCTTAGGTCGACCCATTTCTCCTTTCATTTCAGGGTTGAGGTCAAAAGACCAAAATACTAATCACCATTTCCAACTCCAGGAAGAATCTCCACAAGGATGTATTCCCCACTGCTTTCTTGCTACAATTCCCAGAAAGGCTGCAGGGTGTTTTGTTTTTTTTGAATGTGTATAAATTTTTTTGTATGATCATTTAGTTCCATTAAAATTGGCTTACCTACTGTCTTATCTTCTCTGTGTTGAGCATCCTTGCTCCAGAACCCCTGGAGCACCAAGAGAGTTAATTCCACAGGTTGTATAAAAGCACTTTCAGAAAATCATCTTGGTACTTTCCCAAGCTGTGGTTCTAGATTCCTAGACAATAAGGAGGTTTACTAGCCAGTGTGCCCAGTGGAGAAAGGAAGGATGACCCTTATTGATGAGTGAGAGGCGGAGAGAGGAACATAAGGATGATTGGTCTCCAATGTCAGACTTATTCATGCCTGTCTCAGGGCCTAGTCCCAGGGCAGAGATTCCCTGGGGATTAGGGTCAGCCTGATGGGACTGCCAGTCTGAACCTAAGGCTGAGCAGGACTGGGTTCTAGGTGAAGGCACCTAATGAGAATCACTTGTAGGAACAAAAGCCTTTTTTGAGCCTGTGACCTCCTGGGAGCTTTGGTAATGCTGAGCACAAATTGCTGCCTTCTTGGCTGATGGGATAACCTTGGCCATATGCCTTGGGGGCAGATCTGGCCCTGCAGGTATAGAAAGCACTGTCATAGGCCAGAAGGGTTTGGTGCCCTTCATTACCCTAAAATGTTTGCCCAGGCCCAGTATGGACCTTCCTGAACTTCGAATCACTCCAGCCCTCCTTTCTCTGCCCCTTTCGTCCTGTCTGCTCATTGCCAGCACTTTAGTCTGATGCTCATCATGAGAGGTCACTACTTCTTCCTGGCGGCATGCCAAGTGCCACTGCCTGCCCTGAGCCCAGTAGGCTTACCAGTGCCATGGAAAGCCACCTAAGCCATTGCCTTGCCTTTGATCACTTCTACCTTGATTAAAAAACAGCTGCCATGGATTTAATCCACTCATCGTGATCCCATGTGTGTCAAAATAGAACTGTGTGCCATAGGGTTTTTAATGACTGATTTAGAAGTAGATCACCCATGTCTTCTGAGATGCCACTGGGCAGACTTGAACCTGCAACCTTTCTGTTAGTAACCAAATGCATTAACCATCTGTACCACCCAGAGACTTCAGGGCTATTTGAGGAAGCCAACTTTGGAGGCTGAAATTGGTCCCTGACTCCAACAGCTACGAGAATGGCTAATTTCAGACATTAGATGATACTCTGGTCCCAGGGCTGTAGGCAGCTGCCCGAGTTGGGAAAAAGGTCACAGAGACATGGCTCAGATGAAGATATCTAGAGGGTCACTAGGAGCAAAACCTGGGACTTGACTGCAGTTTACAATTCAGTTTCTGCTAGTACCACCAAACCTTGTGGAAGTGACTAAGACCCCCTTATTGGCCACATAGTGAGTGACAAGGGTTCCCAACACCACACTGCAGCTTTTGTGAGTCACTCTCAGCACACAGTGGTACATACAACCTCTCTGAGGTCCCTAGCCTCACTTCTTTAATCCCCCTTAAAAAGCGGTGAGCATCAGCACAAAAGATGTCTTAAAAGGCCCAGTACTACAGGAATGTGAACTGGTTCTCTCCAGCTACAGGGCCACATGCTCTTCATCTGCTCCACCACGTACAGTGCTTCTGTTTTTATGGAACTTTTGGTAACTGGGATGTCTAGAATGTCAGTTGTGCCTATTTTCCCCTTCAGCAACTCATCAGCTCTAAGCACTGCCAGCCTGTCTAGCTGAGCATCAGGAGCCAAACTGTAGGAAGGGGCACAGAGCACTGTTCCTTTGGCTATGAAGCTGTTGAGTGTTGATGGCAGCAACTTGAGCATGTGCGTGGGTTGCCTGACACCCACGACCCCTGCAAGCTGTCTTCTCGCGGTGTGGGCTTTTGCTGCTTCCTGACCACCCTGGCTGCTGCTTGCCATGGCCTTGGGTTCCACCATGCCATGAAAGACTGGTGTCCCTCTGTCCTATCCCAACAGCATGAAGTCCTCTTTACTGGTTTGTGAGAGGGAGCACCAAACTGTCAGGATGGTATAGGGTGAGGGAAAAGGGCTTATACACAGTTCATGACTTTACATGAAGTGAACAGGGAGGAGAGTGAGCATCACATGGTCTAGCTAGCCCAAGCACCAGCTTCAGCAGGATAAGGAGGTAGCCTACCTTGGGGCATTAGGATCGGAGGAAGTCTCCTGAACAACCTGCGATACGCAGATGACACAACTTTGCTTGCTGAAAGTGAAGAGGACTTTAAGCACTTCCTGAAGAAGCTCAAAGACTATAGCCTTCAGTGTAGATTACACCTGAACATAAGGTGAAAAAAAACAAATACAACTGGACCAATAAGCAACATTATGATAAACAGAGAAAAGATTGAAGTTGTTAAGGATTTCATTTTACTTGGCTCCACAATCAACACCCATGGAAGCAGCAGTCAAGAAGTCAAATGATGTATTGCACTGGGCATATCTGCAACAGACTTCTTTAAAGTGTTAAAAAGCAAAGATGTCACTGTAAGGACTAAAGTGCGCCTGACACAAGCGATGGTGTTTTCAATCGGCTAATATGCATGTGAAAGCTGGAGGATGAATAAGAAGACCGAAGAAGAACTGAGGCCTTTGAATTGTGGTGTTGGAAAAGAATATTGAATATACCGTGAACTGCCAAAGAACAAACAAATCTGTCTCGGAAGAAGTATGCTCCTTAAAGGCACGGATGGCGAGACTACGTCTCACATATTTTGGACATGTTATCAGGAGGGATCAGTACCTGGAGAAGGACATCATGCTTGGTAAAGTAGAGGGTCAGCGAAGAAGAGGAAGTCCCTCAACAAGACAGATACAGTGGCTGCAACAATTGGGTTAAGCATAACAACGATTGTGAGCATGGCGCAGGACCGGGCAGTGGGTCGTACACAGGATCGCTATGAATCCGTGGCATCTAGCAACAACAACTTCGGTAGCGCACACCCCCTCCGGCGCAGCTGAGATTGACCCAGCTTCTTCTGGCCGACGGAAACGCCTAGCTGCCGTTTCCGGCCCCGCCCCCACTGTCGCCCCGCCCCTGACGCAGAGGCGCGGCATGGACCACTTTTCCGGCTGCGTGGGGCTGACAGCTTATAGGCGGTTCAGCATCGAACCCCGGGGGGCATGGCGGACTCTTGTGAGAAGTCTGCAGAGCATGGGAGCTACGGGGAGGATCCTGACTCCGCGGAGGCCCCGACCCGGTTTCGGGACACCCCGGAAGACATCGTGTTGCAAGCCCCGGCCAGCGGTCTGGCGTTGCATCCGGCCCGCGACTTATTGGCGGCGGGGGACGTGGACGGGGACGTCTTCGTGTGAGTGCCGGACAGGGCTGGGGGCGTGGTGGGCGCGGGGACTTCCCAGCCTGGAATCTCCCCGGGGATGGAGCTGGGACGGGGAGGGAGAAGAGAAAGTTTGCAAGCTCAACAAATCCTATACTTTAACATTTGACTTTCAATAAATTACTGCAGAGAAATCCTTTAAAATAACTGAAAAGAGGCCAGAGTGTCTGGAATGTCATAACGGAGCAGAGAGACTATAGCAGGACCAGAACGAGTCCAAGATAATGTTATTTCTCACCGGCTTACTGCGACAGGCTCAGCAGAGCCCTTTATTTTGCTTTTCGTCTCTCTTTGATCTTTCAAAAACACAAATCCGATAGGCTACTTCATTGATTAAAACCCTTTAAGGGTACACCAATGTTCTTTGCAGCGCTGTTCCCAATAGCCAAAAGGTGGAAACAACCTAAATATCCATCAACACATAAATGGATAAACAACATATGTTATATACATACAATGGAATATTACTCAGCCATAGAGAGAAGTGAAGACCCGATACATGCCACAGCATGGATGAACCTTGAAAACTGTCATGCTGAGTGAAATGTCAGTCACAAAAGGACAAATACTGTATGATCTCACTTATATGAAACCAAAGCTTATTAGTGGCTAGAGGGGCGGGTAGGAGGGGGGAAAGGGGAGTTATTGTTTAGGGGGCACTGAGTTTATGTTGGAAACCCTGGTGGCTAATGGTTAAGTGCTACGGCCGCTAACCGAAAGGTGTGCAGTTCGAATCCATCAGGCGCTCCTTGGAAACTCTACGGGGCCGTTCTACTCTGTTCTGTAGGGTCGCTATGAGTCAGAATTGACTCGACGGCAGTGGGTTTGGTTTTTTTGGGTTTGGGGTTTATGTTAATGGTGGTGGAATAATTCAGAAAAGGATAATGATAATGGTTGCACAACATGAAGAATGTAGTCAGTGTCACTGAGTTATACATGTAAAAGTTCTTGAATTGGCAAAAACAACAACAAAACCTTCAATGGCTTAGCTCTGCTGTTAGGATCAAGTCCAAACTCCTTATTTCGGCTTTTAAAGCCCTGATCACCTGTCCCTTGCCTGCTCTCCCCTTTGTGTACTCATTCGTCCTCACCTTTTTGTGGAACTTGAAGTCTCAGCTCCTTTGCACATGCTATTCCTTCTGCCTTGAAAATTCCTTTGCCCTGATTTTACCTACTGTCCCTCTTTTCTTAGCATCTTTTCCCTCTTCCATGCCTGAGACTAAATTAAGTTACCTATTAGATGTTGCTATGGCACCAGATACCTTTCCTTCATAAACTACAATGGTTTAATCATATGGAATCCCTGGGTGGTGCAAACGGTAAATGTGCTTGGCTGCTAACAGAAAAGTTGGAGGTTCTAGTTCATCCAGAGACACCTAGGAAGAAAGGCCCAGAAGTCTACTTCCAAAAAATCAGCCATTGAAAACGTTACGGAGCACTGTTCTACTGCGACACAGATGGGGTCGCCATGAGTCTAGACGGCAGCTGGTTTCGTGTAATCATACATCCGTTTGTGTAATTATTTGAATGCTTGTCTCCTCCACTAAAGAAATGTTTTCCAAACTTTTTGACTTCACCCCACAGTAAAAAAGTTTTTTTACATATGCCATTGAAGATTTTAACCAGGAGAGTTGTGCTGTCAGATTTACTCAGTGAACATCTGTGAAGGTTGTTGAAATGGCAAATGTTTTGCTACCTATATATTTAACACAGTTTAAAAAAAAAAAAAGGTTATATAAACAAAAAAGATTTACTTAATGAATTTAAACTTCAACTCCTTCATTAGCTGCAAAGGCCTTGGTCAAGTTAACTTTTGCTTTCTCTTCTTTGAAAATGGGATTAATAATACCTACCTTACAGAGTGGTACAGTGCTTGAGTACAGTTGTTCAACAAATGTTGGTTCCCTTCTACTACTATTGATATTTACAGTGTCAGATGCTTGGGAGTCATCCTAGATCTCCACCCCCCCACCCCATGTTGCTTCAGTCATCAAGTTCTATGCTCTCTCCCAAAGGCTCTTGAATACACCCCTTGGTTCTCCCCTTCTCCACCCTCAGTTGCTGCCTTCTGGTGGGCCCCTGACTTCTCCCCATGACCATTCTGAAGAGACCCCTTTTCCCCATAGGATTAAATTCAGACCTCTGTGTGGCCTATATGGTCTCCAGCCCAGTTCAGCCTATCTGTCCAGACTCAGTCATGCCACTTTCTTGCCACTTGAACCCTCCCCATTCCTTGTCTCTGCCCTAGAAGGAATATTGATGTCTGCCAGGTGAACTCCTGTTTATTTTTCAAGATCCAACACACATATCATCACCTTAGTTTGCTTTCCAGTGCTCTCTTCTCCCTTCCCAAACATTCATTCAATCTGTGAATGTTTATTAAGCACCTTTATCATGCAAGGCATTGTGTTAGGCACTAGGACAAACAAGTAGACCCAGTGCTGCTCTCCTGGAGTTTACTGTCAGTTATTCATTTGGCCCTTTTTGAGGGTTTGCTCTAAGGCAGACACTAGGGATCCTCTCCAGACAGCTTAAGGTGCTTCTCTGATCCACCTCTATTTTGATCCTACCTCCTTTTCAGCACCTGGTCATAATGTCTCCTGCAGATCTGGAGAACAAGAGCCCTCCCTGCCTTATTGATTTCTGCATTTTCAACTTCTGAGCCTGGTCTTCTGTCATTAATTAAACAGTCATTTCTGGCCTCCACAGTGGTCCAGACTTACTCTTTCCCCAGGCTGGGTCTTTCAAGGATGAAAGAGGGGTGGGGTGGGAGGGAGGTCACAAAGAGGCCCTGAGCAAATGTACTTTGAATTAATGTATACTGAATGAAAGATCCAGCATTTGAAGTTCACTGAAAATGGGATGGTAAGCTCCTTGGGCTTGGAGGTGTGTAAGCAGGAACTCGTAAGTAGGTGGAAGGTTGGTCTGGTTGGTCTCTGCATTTCGTTCATCCTAGGAGGGGTCAGAGGTCATTCACAACCCCATCCCCTCTCCTCAGCTTTTCCTACTCCTGCCAAGAGGGAGAAACCAAGGAGCTCTGGTCCTCAGGGCACCACCTCAAGTCCTGCCGGGCTGTGGTCTTCTCTGAAGATGGGCAGAGTAAGTACTGGGGAAGGCAGCCAGCAGTGTGGTGGTGGGAAGGGAGCAGTGAGCAGAACCATGACCTGGGCTCCTTTTCCCGCTAGAACTTGTCACTGTCTCCAAGGACAAAGCCATCCACATTCTTGATGTGGAGCAGGGCCGACTGGAAAGACGCATTTCTAAGGCTCATGGGTAAGGGGAGCCAACTGTATGCATGTGTGCCTGTGCAGATAAGAGGTGACAGGCAAGGGCTGGGAGGGTCCCTATTGGGACAAAGTTGCTCTGAAAAGTTTTACATCTGTGTCCCCAGGGCCCCTATCAACACTCTGCTGCTGGTGGATGAGAATGTTCTGGCCACTGGGGATGACACAGGTGGTGTCCGGCTCTGGGACCAGCGGAAGGAGGGCCCCTTAATGGAAATGCGACAGCATGAAGAGTACATCGCTGACATGGCTCTGGACCCGGCTAAGAAGCTGCTATTGACAGCCAGGTACAATCTCAAAGCTGCCTCTTCTTTCCTCCCCTTGTTAAACGTCTCCCTCAAAGGGAGCATCTGGCCAAGCCTACTGCTCTGCTTTCTACAGTGGGGATGGCTGCCTTGGCGTTTTCAACATCAAGCGGCGCCGGTTTGAGCTGCTGTCAGAGCCTCAGTCTGGGGACCTGACCTCTGTCACCCTCATGAAGGTACAACTGGATACAGTAGAATAGGGGTATGCTAGGGGCTTGGTCCGAGGTGGCTCCACAGACCCAGTCTACCCTGTCTCCCGTAGTGTGGGAAGAAGGTGGCCTGTGGCTCCAGTGAAGGTACCATCTACCTCTTCAACTGGAATGGCTTTGGGGCCACGAGTGACCGCTTTGCCCTGAGAGCTGAGTCCATCGACTGCATGGTTCCAGTCACTGAGAGTCTGCTGTGCACTGGCTCCACTGATGGAGTCATCAGGTAAGAGAAGCCAGGAATGCCCTCAGGTCACAGAAGGGCAGGGCAGGCTCAGCCAGCCAGTACTAACACGCTTCTCTCCCTGCCCAGGGCTGTAAACATACTACCGAACCGAGTGGTGGGCAGTGTAGGCCAGCACGCTGGGGAGCCCGTGGAGGAGCTGGCTCTCTCCCACTGTGGCCACTTCCTGGCCAGCAGTGGCCATGACCAGCGCCTCAAGTTCTGGGACATGGCCCAGCTGCAGGCTGTGGTGGTAGATGACTACCGTCGGCGCAAGAAGAAGGGAGGGCCACTGCGAGCCCTGAGCAGCAAGGCCTGGAGCACCGATGACTTCTTTGCAGGGCTGAGGGAGGAGGAAGAGGATTCCACGACACGTGGGGAAGAGAGTGAGGAGGACAGTGACTGAGGGGATGAGCCGACTCTCAGGACAGGTCCTCACTCACAGGACAAGAATAGTGGCTTTCTGGGCTTGATCCTGAGAGGCTATATATTTATAATACCTTTGTGCAGCTGGTTCCTGGGTATCGCAAATGGATTGCATTCAAGTGCTAACCTAAAGGTTGGCAGTTCAAACCCACTCACTGGTACGGTGGAAGGCAGGGCTGGGAATATGCTTCTGTAAAGATTACAGCCAAGAAAATCCTATGAAGCAAGCTACTCTGTAAGACATGGGTCGACATGAGTCAGAACTGACTTATCGACAAGGGGTATGTTTTCACTGTGCAGCTCAGAAGATGCATAGACACAGACCCGGGACTCAGGGCAATGCTGTAGGGAAGGGTCCTTGCCCCATAACAGCTGCTCACTCTACCAGTGTGATGATAAGCTCTCAGCTGGGGCAAAATGGCACAGACACAAGTGTACACCAACTAGGGGTTTAATATAAATACAACCAGCATAGAAAAACACGAAACTATACATAAACCAAAACCAGAATGCCAGGTGGTGGAGGCAAAGGGCAGATTTTCTGATCCTTTGGCTCAGCTAGTCCCCAAATAAAATCTAACCAAAATGACAGATTAAGAAAATGAGAAACGAAGATTCATGCTAAGCTGTGGGAAGGAGGGAGAAGAACGTGTGTGTGTCACACGGGGAATTGCCAAGGAAGACCACCAAGTCAGGTTAGACCCTGGGTTGGGAGCAGGGCCAGATCCTTCATCACAACTTAGCTAAGCCTGAGCTGCCCCCAGGTGCTATGGGGCTCTGCCCCTCTCCATTTTGGGCTTAGATGGTGGCCACCCAGGCCTGCTGGGCTGGGGACTGATACAGGCTCTGCCTACCCATTCAGGTTGCCTGTGGAGAAAGGATGGGGTCACTGCTTAACCATGGTACCTGCCTCAGCAGAGCACAGAAGGCTGGCCCCAGACTCACTCAGCACCTCTAGCAGCCGTGCGGACACGGCATCCTTGGCCACCTCATGCCCATCCTGCCCATCTGGGGCCAGCACAACCCATATAAGGCCGCTGAAGGGCACTGGATGCCCAGGGATCACCACCTGGTACCAGAAGCGGTGCCAGCCAGCAGGGCCTGTGCCTAAGCACTTGGTGAGGAACACAGGGCTGCCCAGCTTCATCTGCTGGCACAGCAGCTGCAGGGCAGCCCGAGCCCCTTGGGGCTCTAGCTTGTTCCTGCCTAGGGCCAATCGGCTGCCCTCTGGCTGTAGGTACCGTAGGGAGGGACCCACAAGCTGCTGGCGGAGTCGCTGCTTCAGGTCTGGCTTGAGCCACTCCACAGTCACCTGCTCTCCACAGAAGCACGAGTGTCCTGTAAGACAGAGGCAGAGACAAGGGCAGGTCTGAGCCCTGGGCCTAAGTCCCCAGACCCTGTGAGCCTTTGGGAGCCACACAGGCCTGGATTTAATTTCTAGTCTCCCCATTTCCACCTGGAGCGACCTTGGGCAAGTTAAATAACGTCTCCAGGTATCACTATTTATAAAGGTGTAATATTTGCTGCATTCTAAGTTTCCTTGGAGTACTGGTTGGGGCAGGTCTACTTCATTACCATCTTAATAGCTAACCTCTACTGTGAACGCTTGGTTTGAGTCAGGAAATGTGCTAAGTACTATGTCCTAAAAGTTACTTCTCACAACAGTGTGAGGAAGCAAGTTTTATAGTGGATAAAAAGTAGGCTCAGTTGGACTGCCTTGGGCAAGTCCATTTCTCAAACTTACTTCTAAAGAGGGAGAAAACGTAACTGTTTCATTGGAGTGTTGAGGATTAAATCTGGAAATAATGCACGGAAGTATTAGGTTTAGGTAAGTGGCAGCTGGTAGCACCATTGGAAATATTGTAAGGTCGCAAACTCAGGCATGCTTGACCCTAAGAATCTTGCAGATTGACATGCTATGCTGCCTTGTATAGGTAAAGCGCCTGGCAGAAAAAGCTTGGCCCCAACCAGCTGCCCAGTAGCCTCCATCCCGTACCTTCCACTAGGGCCTTTTTGGCCATGGCAGCGGCGCGGTGCGAACTGAACTTCAGCAGCGCGATCTGTGCGGGCGCCGGCCCGGGGCTGGGCAGCAGCAGCGCCTCCTGCAGGCCAGAGCCCAGCGGCTGCAGCGCGAGCATTAGCGCCCGGCGGCTCAGACCCGGCGGCAGCCCGTCCACGCTCAGCTCGCACTTCTCCGTGCTGCGGCACACGAGCAGCGGGCAGGACGGCCGAAGCGGGTGGTTGTGCAGTGTGGCGATGGCAGCCTGTGCCCCACGCCGCGAGCTGTAGCGGGCGTAGGCGAAGCCGCGGTTCAGGCCGCTGAAGGTCATCATCAAGCGGAACTCGTAGAGGCGGCCCACCCGCTGGAACAGCGGGATCAGCTGGTGCTCGTACACGTCCTGGGGCAGCCGCCCGATGAACACCTCCGACCCGGCCGGCGGTGGGCTGCCCACCCAGCCTGGGACAAACGGGCAGGGAGGGGGGCACCGTCATACACCGTGATGGTTGTTCGGGGCCCAGGGACCCGCGTAAAAGGGTGCAAACGCCTGTGAAATGGGTACAACATCCATACTCTGGGGCCGTTGGCATAATTAGGTGACTGAGCTAACTCCGGGGCTGGCGCAGAATGTATTCACCTTTAAACTGGCTCCCTTCCTCGAGGGGACGGGTGGCTGGGGAGCCATAGAAAAGCAGTTTCGTGCCTCATCTACTTGGGGTTTAAATCCGGGTAGTTAGGGGTTTTTGACCGTGGAGCCTGGGAATAGGCCCCTCCCCCAAAAGGGGCTGGTCGGGGCCGTACAGGCTGGAAAAACTTGGCAGGCGCAGGGGCTGGGGCTACCGTACCTGGGGGTGGCCCGCCATACTTCCTCTGCCCGTTCACCTGCACCAGTCGGATGCCTGTCTCCCTGACCCACGCCTCCAACGCCGCCTTGTTCTCTGGATTCACCCTCTCACACCATAGCTGAGAGGGAAAGAGCAGGATGGAATGGTGGTTCGCCCAGCCCATCTACGCCTCGCTTGTGGGGCTGGCACCCCCGTAGCCCCGCTGCCCTGCGCAAGTGCAGGGTGATGGCTCCCCTTCATCGCCAACTACTTACCTCACACTCCCGCTTGGACTGCATGGCCGTCCCGCTAGCCCGCCCGTACCCTCTTTATAACTTCCTCCCCATCGGCCTCTGGAAGCTTCCCGTCTCTCCATCCCCCAATCTCTCATTGGTTCTGAAAACGACCCCGCCTCCCAAGGGGGTGGAGATACCCACCGCACGTGCGCCTTGGACCCTCGGACCCACAGGTGAAAGCTATAAACCCTACTGGGTGAGTATGCGAGCAACCCCACCGCCTAAGTGGCTCACGAACTGGCACCGAGTGGACGCTGGAGGCAAGAACCGAGGGCCGTCCTTCACCCTGGGAAAGGGCCTGTAGGGCCTACTGTAAGGCTTTCTTCCCATTTGCCACCACTAAAGTGGCCTGAATGAGAGGATGCCCAGGCTCTGATGGGAAAGGCAGGGGTAGGCATCGGTGACACTGGCAGGCTTCAGTGGTTTCGGCATTTTATTAGACGGTTGGACATTGGTTGTGGGGAGGCATCGCCTCCATGTGGTGCGGGGCCCTATAGCAGAGGTGCATAGGATGCATTCGGCCCCCAGGGCCCTCATGGAAAACGGTGTAGCACCTGGCCATTTTTGCCAGTGATTACCAGTAAAATAATTGTTATAATAAAAAGTCTCTGCTCTGACTATTCTTCAGGTCTTCCTGCTGGAACAGAAATATGCAAAGCTGTTTAACTACATATGCAGAGTTTTATCTTAGTCGCAAATAGTGCCAGTCCCACTTTGCTCTGAGTTTTCTCAGTTCAGCAGATGCAGAGGGGCTGGCTTGTTCTCTTTTTGATTTCCTCCACAAGGTCTTCTCTTCTGACGTCGACCTGGCAGGGTGGGGGAAGGGAGGAGAAGGTGGTGTGAGCACCTTCCACTCTACGGCTCCCTGAACACCCACTCCTTCCCCTAGTCATGAGAGTTGGCTCAGCTGGGGACAGGAACCCATTAAACAACCCAGGGTAGACAGCGCGTCTTGGGGGAGCCAGAAAGACACTGTATACAGGGTGACAGAGATCTTACCTTACCGTGACCATAAGAACAAATCCCGTTTACTGGGCCTGTACGGTGTGTTAGGCCATTAAGTCCTTTATGAGTGGGACTAATATGAATGCTGGGCTTTTGCTCAGGTCTTGAATGGACGTGGGCCTGCCAACATGGAATACATTCCTTCTCCCTCAGCCTTCCTGCCTGCCCCCTCACCTCTTCCCTGCTAGCCACTGAGCGGAGCTTGATGACCCCGTCCTTGAGTTCCTGTTCTCCGATGATGGCCACCAGTGGGATGCCTGCCTCCTCACAGTACTGCAACTGGTTCAGTAATTTTGGGTTCTTCTTGTAGAGCAGCTCGGCCTGTGAAGGACCAGGAGAGAAGATGAATGCTGGCTTCTGCTGCCCTCAGGGAAAACCTTCTGGGGGCCCAGGCTGGCACTTTGCTCTCAGCTCTACCCCAAGAAATCACAGTAATGGCAGGAGTCACTCTATATGAGCTTTTATTTAGCTTGTGCCCAGTACTCCCAAGTGTGCTCCCACCCTGGGGCTTGCCACCTGTACCTTGATCCCAGCATCCCATAGCTCTGAGACGAGCTTCAGTCTCTCTTCCAGCAGCTTCTTCTGTGCAGATGCCACAAGCACCTGTGTCTCTGTGGTCCGTACCTTCTCCTCCAAAGCCTGAGAAATGGGCAGATAAGAGTCACAGCGGGGCTAGCCTTTATAACATCTTCAAGGAGTAAACAGAGCAGGCTGTAGTCAAGATTCTGAGAGACTAGGCCTAACTCAGCAAGCTCCACCAGGACAGGGGCCCAGTTTTCTCATCATCGAGCAACTGGACACAGGATAGCTCTTAGAAAATATAAGAAATGAACTGACTGGCTTGTACATATGACTTGTCAAAATAAATAATCTAGGGCAAGGGCAAATGAAAAAACCAAGGTAGCTTAATTACAGTAATCTTGAGCTCATTTCCAGGAAACCTGATGGCACAGTGGGTAAAGCGCTCAGCTGCTAACCAAAAGGTTGGTGGTTCGAACCCACCAGCTGCTCAGTGGGAGAAAGGTGTGGCAGTCTGCTTCCACAAAGATTTACAGCCTTGAAAACCCTATGGGGCAGTTCTGCTCTGTCCTATAGGGCCACTATGAGTCAGAATCGACTTGATGGCAATGGGATTTTTGTTTGTTTGAGCTTATCTCCATCTAGTACCTTAAGAGCCCACAAGAACATTCATCCAGAAGTGACACTATTAACCCAATCCTGGGCAATCAAACCACCCCTGGTAGTTCTAGTCCCTACTTACTATCTGCCCACTAAAGACTATGTCTCTTCTACTTCAGCCACAGGGCACAACTCAGGGTGTGTGTATGTTGTGGGGAGAATGCTGCTGCTGCCCCTCCTCTTTTTCTGGAAAACTGCTTTCACACTTGTTATGGATCAAACTGTGTCTTCCCCCTGCAAAATATATGTTGGAATTCTAACCCCTGTACTTGTGGATGTAATCCTGTTTGGAAATAGTGTTTTCTGTGTTATATTAGTTATATCATACCCAAATAGGGTGGGTTCTAGATCTGATCACTTCTGAGTTATAAAAAGGGCAGATCAGACAGACAGAGAGACAGAGAGACAGACAGACACACACACACACACACACACACACACAAAGACAGATGCCATGTGAGGATCATCTACAAGCCAAGGAACCAAGGGACCCCTACCGACAAAGAAGGAATTGACCTAGCCGAGACCCTGATTTGGACTTTTAGACTGCAGAACTGTGAGAAAATAAATTTCTGTTCTTTAAGGCCACCAGCTTATGTATTTCTGCTACAGCAGCACTAGGTAACTACGATAATAGTTCCTACAACATGAGATGCCTACTGGAACAGTGACCTCAACTGGGAAACATGCATGGTTCTACCCTAGAGAGAAGGGATGGGACCAGTGGGAAGGTTACTGCCAGAGGCTCTCCAACAGGATGAAAGCAACCAGTCAGTTAAGAGCAGCAGCAACAAAGGAGGCCGTATGGGGCTTCTTTGGTGTTACTATAAGTGCTAGAGAGCCAAGGCAGGCCTCTGAGGGATCCCAGGGGCTCAGACATGTACTTGACTAAAGCAATAACACCTGCCCCTTTGGAATTCAAAGAAGACAGCTCAAGTGCTGTCATCTACCCACTCTCCAGGACCTACCTCCAGCCTCTGCTCCACGATGGAGAAGATCCGCTCCACCCCAATGCTGAGCCCCACGCATGGCACCTTGCGCCCTTTGGGGTCAAACATGCCAACCAGCCCATCATAGCGTCCACCAGCAGCCACACTGCCCATGCCCAGGGGTTCTTCCCCTGCCCGCACTGGGGTCTGTAGCAGCACTGCCTCATAGATCACTCCAGTATAGTAGTCTAGTCCTCGAGCAAGGCTCAGGTCGAAGGAGATCTGTGGGGACAAGGACATGGTCAGTACCAGATGAGGGTCAGGTTAGTACCAGACCTGAAGCCCCAGAGCTCAGCTAGGGGCACCCTCTTGCCTCCAACTTGACTCACCTTGTCAGCAATGCCAAACAGGGTCAGGTACTGAAACAGCAATTTCAGGTCTCCCAGGCCCTCCAAGGCCTGCTTGTTCTGGGACAGTTTAGGATCATGGAGCAGCTGTTCCACCAGGGATACTCCACCTGGAGAGACAGATTAATGAGCCAGACGACTGACAACAAAGAAGGTAGGGACTCTGGCTTTTTGCCTGGACTCTACCCGCATGCATGTGTATGCATGTGCGGACATACACACAGGGAAGAGTTGCAACTTTAGGACGGACAGCAGTGGGACCACCACTGGGGAGGCTGGGTTCTGCCACTCACCATGCTGCTGGACATAGTCCCCAATGCGGTCAGCCACCTCAGGTGCTAGGCCCTTCTCTCCCACCATCTCATTCTTCACTTCCTCCCAGGACACCTGGCAGACAGACACCAGTCAGAGACTCCTGGGCAGCTTCCCCAAGTGTGGACCTTTCTTGGGGGCAGCAATGGAGCAGAAGCTGCACTTCAACCTATATCCTGGGACTAAGCTTCCTCTTATGGATGTAGAGGCAGGTACCTCTCTCTCCTAAACTTGTTTTCCATTTCCCAAGGCACAGTGGGATCTGGGAAAAAGAGGAGTCAGGTGTCTGGGTTGTTACCTTGTCCAGCTTGTCCACCGAGGAGCAGATGGTACGGAACTTGCTATCAGGAACACCACAGATGGCAAACATCCCATCTAAGATGCGCCGGTCATTCACCTGTAGGGAATGAGGAGGGGATCTCATTTCTTCACATGATCCTCAATAGCACTGTGCACTTAGGCTACTGGTCTCTCTGCACAAGGCCCTTCTCCTGTGAGAGGCCAGGCCCAACTTTGCTTTCCCAGTCCAGTTGGCTCTGACCTTGACCAGGAAGTTGCCTAGCTGAAGTGAACTCAGGATCTCGCACATGATCTTCAAGCACTCTGCATCAGGGATCATGGAGTCAAATTGTCCAGCAATGTCAAAATCCTGCAGGCAGAGGGATAGTTAGAGGTACAGTTAGGGTTCAGTCTTCTTAAGGAGGACTCTTGGGAGCTCTGTTCTCTATGAGGGCCTGTACACTGAAGCACACACCTACTTCATTCTCTATGTCTGATCATTAGCCCAATGGAAAACTCTGGCATTCTTGGGCCTCTCACCAGTCCTAGTTTCCTTTCTAGCTAGACTATTCCTTCATTATCTCACTCATTTACTTCTTCCTCAACTCCTCCTACTGCTGTGGGCAATTATCAATCCTTAGTCCTTAGCCAGCCATTTTCTCTACTCATCCAGAAGCTCTGCCTTCAATCTGGATGATTTGCTACCTCAAATCCAATTTCCCTGTCCTCTGCTGTGATCCTATCAATGTGGTTTAATATAAAGAGCAATGAACCAAGAGCTCTAGTCCTGACTTTACCTTTCTTATCCCTATGATCTCTTCACCTTGCTAGTCTTGAGTTTGCTTACTGGGTAAAATGCAGATAATAATCCTGTCATGCCCTCCCTACAGGGCTGTTTTGAAATCTGTATGAAAACACCAAAGAAACCTATGAGTTATCATTATCTGGGGCATCCAGTTTGCTCAGGACACCATAAGTATTCAATAGATTCTGTCGGCTTGAGGGAGGGCCTGTTACCCATTCTGCCCCACAGTTTCCCAACACTCACACACTGGTAGAATTCCCGATATCGGCCGCGAGTCATGGCTGGGTTATCCCGCCGATACACCTTTGCTATGTGGTAGCGTTTAATGTTGGTCAGTTTATTCATTGCCAAATATCGAGCAAAAGGAACCTGACGACAAAGGGTTAAGGAGAAAGTCCCTCCTATCACAACCAGTCTGGAAGTTGGTTATCACCACCAACAGAAGCTGAGGTCTAAACCCTCACTGTACCAGTTAAACCACCGCCCATAAGAGTAACAGCATTTCTGAATATCAGAAAGAATCAAGAGGGGCAGTTAAAGTCTCAAACAAAGTTAAGGCTCCTTTTTCTTTGGTAGTGTCTCCCTGGGCTATGCTGAGCATCGCAAGGGGCTGGGCAGATGGGCCAAGCAGCAGAGAAAAGGGCCTCATCTGGGATCTCAAAGCAGATGGCTCGCTGACATAGCTTGGATGTAAGAGAAAAGTATTGTTGGCCAATTAAGGAGGACTTTGTCCACTGGACAGAGGAAGGGAGAGGTATTATGGAGCCAGGGGATTGTTGGTAGAGTCGGAATTGGACCCTGGCATAAAGCTGAGGTCTCACTCAGGTTCTGGAAGATTTCTAAGGCTATATTTTGGTTAGCCAAAGTCCCACTCTCGGCTCAAGGAAATAATTCCTGATTGCCAAAGGCCTCATATTTGATCCTACCTATGTCTGCCTGTCCTCAAACCTGAGGCTAGAGATAGTCCTAGCTCAGTGAGAGCCAATCCATCCAAAGTGTCAAGAGCCCAGGTTTAGAAAGATACAGTGAGGTCATAGCGAAGGGACAGCAGCTCTCCACCCTGGTCCTTCAGGTCATAGATAAGCTTAGAGTCTTCCCCATACTTTCCAGTCAGTGTTTCCTAGAGAAAAATAAAGAAATGTGGTCTCAATGACAACTATAACAATACATAAAAGGAAGTTTTGGAAACAAAAAGTCATGACTGTATCATCACTGACTTCAACTTCTCTACATTTCGCTCTGCTCTCTAATTCAATACTTATGTAATTATCATCAAAAGGAAACATCAATTTTGTGTTGATTTTCCACTTATCACATTTTCATTTTGTGACACAGTTGAAGTATTTTTTTAAAGCTGCACAATATTCCATTCAGAAGAAGTTTTGTAATTCCTTCGCCCTAGTGTTCACCTCATATGCATGCAAAAGCTGGACGATGAATAAGGAAGACCGAAGAAGAACTGACGCCTTTGAATTGTGGTGTTGGCAAAGAATATTGAATATACCACGGACTGCCAAAAGAATGAATAAATCTGTCTTGGAAGAAGTAGAACCAGAATGCTCGTTAGAAGCTAGGGTGGCGAAACTATGTCTCACAAACTTTAGACATGTTATCAGGAGGGATCAGTCCCTGGAGAAGGACATCATGCTTGCTAAAGTAGAGACTCAGCGAAAAAGAGGAAGACCCTTAATGAGATGGACTGACACAATAGCTGCAATAATGGGCTCAAGCATAACAAGGATTGTGAGGATGATGCAGGACTGGGCAGTGTTTCATTCTGTTGTACATAGGGTTGCTATGAGTCGGAACCAACTTGACAGCACCTAACAACGACAGTGTTACACTGTTAGCTGTTTAGGTAATTCCGATTAAAAAAAATTTTTCATAATATTTTGGTAAACGTATCTGGGAACATAGCTTTTTTTTCTTTTCTTGAGGCTAAATTCCTGGGAGTGGGCTACTAGATCAACAAGCATGAATGTTTTTATGACGCCTGAGATTTGAACAATGTCAAAGCCAAACTGAGAATGCTTTAAGGTAGTTACAGCAATGATATCTCCAACCAGGTAACATTTCACCTACCAGACTGGCAAAGATTAAAAAGCCTGAAAATTCCAATGTGTAGAAAAAGAAATACTCATACAATGGATGATAAAAGTATTAGTGGATACAATCTATTGACTCAGCAATTTCATTTCTATGAATTTACCCTGCAGACATATGCCTACTATTATCAGCCATTGTTCTAAGCAGAGTGTATGTCAATGAACAAGACAAAGGTGATCCATGCCCTCATAGATGTTCTGTACTCAGAAGAGAAAAGCAATACATTAATGCAAAGAAACGAATTAACAGATAATTTCAGATAGTGATAGATTCCTCTAAAGGAAGTAAAACAAGTTGATGTGATAAGAGTAAAGGGCTACTTTGGACAGAGTAGTTGAAGACGGTTTTCTGAGGAATGGCATTTTAGCTGAGATCTGAAATTAAAATCTACAACCTCTAATCTGAAATTAAAGTCAAGCAAAGAGCTGGGGGAAAAGGGGATTCGGGAAGAGGAAAGAGGAAGAACAAAGGCCCTGAGGTAGAAATACACTTAGTATGTTTCATGAATAGAAAGAAGACCAGAATAGCACGGTGTGCAAGGGGAAGAACAGTATGAGATAAGGTGGAAAGGGAGGCAGCAGCCAGATCATGTAGGGCCTTGTAAGCCCAAGTAAAGAGTTTGGATTTTATTATAAATGCAACAGGAGCACTGGGTTTTAAGCAGGGAATGATCCAATCTGGTTTTTTACAGCAAAGAACTGGAAACAACTTCAAGGTCCATCAATAGGAGACTGGTTGCATATTTATACTTTATATGCGTGAGGTTTGTACATACCTAGAAAACATCCTTAGTAAAGGGGCTATGAAATTCAAAGACATTAGCCATAATAACAACTTCCACTCTTAAGAAGGGCTTTCTTTTGGAAGCTGCTGGCCACAACCAAGGTAAATAAAAGGCATGGTCTCTCTCTCCAGGCCAGTCCTGTCTCCCTTCTCACTGGAGAAAATGCTGGTCTGTATCCACATGAGAAGTGGGGGCTGTTATGGATTGAACTGTGTCCCCCAAAAATATGTGTTGTAAATCGTAACCTCTATGTCTGTGGTTATAATCTCAGTTGGGAATGGGTTATCTTTGTTATGTTAATGGACACGATTAGTGTAGGGTGTGTCTGGAGTCAATCTCTTATAAAATATAAAAGGAGCAGATTAAGGAAGCAGAGATGGGGGAAGATTGATGCCAAGCCACACTGTTGATCTCCAAGGAACCAGGAAACAAGCTGAAAAGACAAAGACCTTCCCGGAGACGACAGATAAAGAAAGCCTTCTCTTAGAGCCAGCACCCTGAATTCAGACTTCTAGCCTCCTAAACTGTGAGAAAATAAATTTGTTTGTTAAAGCCACCCACTTGTGGTATTTCTGTTATAGCAGCACTATATAACTAAGACAGGAGCTCTCTCTATCCTATTACCCTCTCTGTTGTTCATATACCCATTCTCTCACCATGCAATTTCTCCTTGTCCATCCCTTACCTTTAGTTCAAATACAGGTGTATCAATTACTTCTGCACCATGGCGCTTGAAGCAGTTGATTATCACATCAAACACCTTCTCCCGAACTGCCATCTGCCGGGGACTGTAGTCTCTTGTGCCCTTGGAGTCAAAATTTGCCAAAGAACCACGAATGGGATTTAAAAACAAACAGAGAATGATAAGCTCCAGCAATATAAAAGGTTAACCTCAACAATGAGAAAAGCAAATCTGCACCAAGCTTAGATTTTACTACAGGCCACTAAGTTGTAAAACAAGTACATCCACTCCTCACTTATTGACATGGTTATTCCAAAGACCAGGTCATTATGCAAAAACCTGCGTTATGTGAAAATAGACAATGACCACATCAGATCACAAAATGGAGGCTGACTACATCATCACATAACTGCGAAACCACTGAGAATCACGGCCCAGCCAAGCTGACACACAACCTTAACCATCAGAGCTAGTGTCACTCTTGCCTCGCACCTTGGCATTCATTACTGCCAGACATACGTCTCTAATGTGCAAAATAGTCGGACAGTAGGTCTTTTACTATTGTCATAAATGCAAAATGTTGGATAATGAGAGAGTCGGTGAGGAGTAGGTGTACATATAACCCAAAAAACCAAAACCAAACTATTGCTATTGAGTTAATTCCTACTTATGGTGACCCCATGTGTTCCAGAGTAGAACTGCTTCTTTACGGAAGCAGATTGCCAGGACTTTCTTCTGTGGTGCTGCCGGGTGGAGGCCCTATTAATTCTCACATCCATTTGCTGTCACTTTCTAAATTCAATTCTCTTTTTAGCTTGGTTCTATTTTCTAGAATTCTTAGAACTCTTTTCTGTGAGCAGTTTTTCTAAAAACTCTCTGGGATAACAGAACATTTCCCTGCCTAATAGAACACACCTACCTGCTGACAGGCTCAAAGCAAACTTAGTCTGGCTTAACTGAATTCCACATTTTACAAGCAACTTTTCTCTCCCAATATAGGTTTTTTTCTTTTCTTAATTAATACTATTAGTTCTCTAATTTGTTTCTGTATTTTACAGATGAATTACAGGATGTTGAGAAGTTAATTCATTACTTAAGGCCACTTGGCAAGTTTACGGCAGTCAGGACTAGAACTCTGTTCTACTTCTAGGTCAGAACACCTAGTCTAGGTTTTTATATCCTACCCAGCAGTTCTCAAATCTTATGGTCTCAGGGCCTCTTTATACTCTTAAAATTTACTACGGATCCCAAAATGGATTATACCTATCAATATTTACAGTATTAGAAACCAAAACTGCAAAAATTAAAAAAATACTTATTAATCCATTAAATGTTAACATAAATAACATTTAAAGAAAAGGTAACTATTTTCCAAAGCAAAAAAAAAAAAAAAATTAGTGAGAAGAGCGGCACTGATTTACATTTTTGCAAATCTTTAACGTCAGGCTTACTGGAAGACAGCTGGGTTCTCATATGTGCTTTTTGCATTCAAGCAGTTGTCATATGTTGTTCTGGTTGAAGTACATTAAGAAAATTGGCCTCACATAGATGCAGTTATAAAAGGGAGGAATATTTTAAAAAACTTTTCAGCCAACTGTGACTATTCCTCTACTACACTGAAATTAAGTAAATAGTAGTTTTTTAAAGATTGTTTGCAATGTGGACTCTGAAACTCTATCAGTGAACTTTTCATACCATTACATTAAAATCCATTGGTCTATCTTTGCACTTTGGATGTATCTTTTACCTATGCATGATTTTATAACATACATCAGTCATTTGGAAAATACTCACTTTTAACTGTTAAACAGACCTTCAAATATTGATACATTTCATTATATACTATGGGAAGTCATATTCATTAGTATTACCACAGATCTCATCAGGAAAGTTAAGTATTGAGAAGCTGTCAAGCTCACAGTGGAAGATAGAAGTTTTCTAAATTTTTAACTTTCACTTCAAAGTTTGAATTTTATCATTGGCAACAAATACTGTCAGATGCTTTCCTTGAGGTGACAAGGCTCAGTTGGTTCATTTTTGTGAAAATATCTGCCAAATATCCAAGCCTGAAAAACCATAGTTTGTGTGTCAGTTGTCCTTTCAAATAAAAAAGGTGTTCCATGAAAAAAGCAACTAGTTCAGCTTGCACCTCACACAATGCACAAATGCTTTCTTTCTTTGGAATGCAACAGAAGTGCTTTATGCGTATTTTCCATTTCATCATACAGAATATTGAAAAGGAGTGTACTCAGGGTCAAGAGTCAATAAAATTAAATCTTGCACCTTCAGTGCAAATGCCAACATAGTATAAAGAGCAAATAATGTCTCAGTATCATTGGACAAAACTTTCAAGAGGTCTTCAAGGTCAAAACTATTTTCATTAATACTGAGCTTTGTGTTGTTAATATGAGTCACATGTCAAGAAATGTGCTTCAACAAGTAAAGTGGATATTAGCTCTCCAGCATCTCACTTTCTTTTAACATTATATTATGGGAATTTTCAAACATTCATTAGAAAGTAAAGCACAAAGGACCACCACATATCCATTGAACAATCCAGCTTCAATAACCATCAGCATCTGCAATTATTATTTCATCTAAGCCTATATATATATATATATATATATATATATATATATATAATATATATATATATATACATTTTTTTTTCTGGAGTATTTTAAAATAAACCTCAGACATTGTAACATTTCACAAATACGTCAGTATTTATTCTCTAACACATAAGAACTTAAAAAAAACCACTATATCTTTACTACAATCAACAAAATTAACAGAAAGTGCTTAATATCATCTAATGCTTAAGCCATGTTTAATTTTCCCTGATTGCCTTAAAAATATCTTTTTATGGTTGGCTTGTTTGAACCAGATTCTAAATGTAGTCCATGCATTGTATTTATTACGTCTCTTATGTCTATTTAATCTACTACAGTTTCCTTTTTTTTTAAAAATGTCATTTACTTGTTGAGGAAATTGGGTCATTTGTCCTAAAGAATTTCTCACAGCCTAGATTTGGCTGATGATATCCCTGAAATGTCATTTAACATGTTCCTCCATCTCCCATATTTCCTACAAGCTGGTAGTTAGGTCCAAAGGCCTGATTTAACTTAGATTTAATTTCTCCTGGCAATAATACTTCATAGGTGGTGCTGTGTACTTCCTATTGCATCACATCAGGAGGAACATAACATCTGGTTTTCCTACTTTTAGTGATGTTAAGATTCATCACATGACTTATCATAACATCCTCATTAATTTTTTTTACCTAATAGTTTGAGTAATCATTTGATGATCACTGCCTTGGCATTTTACACTGTCTCGTTAACTTTTGAACATGAGTTGTGTGTAGAAAGGGACCGCTCAATGAACTTAAGAGCCCCAGTAATCAACCTTAAAAAGTGACATTTCAACACAGGAAGACAGACCTTATCACAATTTGTAATTATGTATCCATACGTGGGATTACTTGTTCTAATCTGTCTTCTTCGGTAGAATGTAAGCTCCACTGAGGGCAGGCTATATTGTTCCCACGGTATATTCACTGCTTCGTATCATGTTACGCACATAGTAAGCCTTCAGTAAATATCTGCTGAAAGAAAGAAGTAGCAGCAGCAGGCAGATTCCCCCGAGCACCCAGCTGGCCTAGTTTCTGCCATCACTTAGTGTCATCCCAGAACGACCCAGGTGGAGTCCAGTCCAGCCCAGTGCCCAGAGCAACTGTGTTTCCTTGGCAGTATTTCAGATTCTCCTCAGTGAGTTGGTTCGAAGAAACAGGCACATGCGTCCTGGAGGATGGGACTGGAGGCGGTAAGAGGGATGAAATTTACCTTGGGGGTTTTGAGCACAAACTTCTGTTTCCCTTCATCAGGGCCCAGCTGTGCCTTCAGTTTCAGGAGTTTTGCCACCTCCTCCTCTATCTGTGTACGGAAAGGAGGCGATGGGCTATCTATCTGCCACTCCCCACTCTCCCCCGCCATTCATTCAATACCCCTCCCTCGTCAGGACCTGGGGCAGCTCTCTCTCCTTGGGCCTAGCTTTGCTTCTCTCGGCCTCCTCCCGCCCAGCCAGACCTACTCCCTATCAGCCCAGTCCCTTCCCCCACATCCCTGTCCTCTCTCCAGACCACCCCGTTTCAGGTCCTCCCTGGCCTTGCCTTGGCCTCTCCCCAGATCAGCCAGCCCCCGCAGCCCAGGCCGCACCTTCTCGGCTTTGGCCTTCTGCTGCTTCAGGGCCCGGACGCGCTCTCCCTGAAGTCGCACCAGCTCCTCCAGGGCCGCACGCTCTGCCATGCCGTCTGCCAACTCGAGCTGCCGGCTATCTAGATCGGCCGCCGTCGCCGCAGTCTTAGCCCGGATGACTTCCGGCTACCGAGTCGCTGCTCCGCTCGCCCAGAGAGCCTCCACCGAGCACTTCCACCCACTTCCGGCTCCTACCGGTAGTATCGAAGCTGACTGGTAAAGCTGAGTCTGAGAGGCGCGGCCTCCACGACTTGGGAGTTGAGGGAGCGCCCACCTTCTCCCTGGTGCTCGATTTTCGCCTTTATAGAGTTCCGCACTGTTCCTGGGGTCCGACCTGCCGCGTTCCCAGTACCTTTGTCTCCTGTCCAGGATGCCCCAGCTCGGACTCCTGCCCAGGAAGGCCTGGGTTGCGCTGCTTAGCCAGATCCTGCGGCCGCCCCACGCCGCCTGCCCCCGGGCGGTCCGCTTTCATAGCCAGGTGAGCCGGACTGAGAGCTCCCGTCTGTTGCAGCAGGGCCTCCAGGTATAAAAGCATGGACTCATGGCATGTACTCCAGTAATATTACAGTCACTTTTTGTTGAGTGCCCACCATGTGCCGGCACTCAACTGGACGTTTTAAATGCTTTAATTCTCAAAGCAATCTTGAGAGGTTGGGATTATTATTATTTCCATTTTTCAGTTGAGGAGACAACCGCGGCTGCAAGGTTAAATGACTTACCTACGGATACATAGTACCGAGAGTATTTTAATGCAGATCCACAATCCTTTATCTGAAACCCTTGGATCCACATGTTTTTCGGAATCAATTTTTTAGACTTTCAACTGAAAAGTAAAAGGTAATATACCACATATGAGTTCGCATCCTCAGTGGGATCTGGGGCAGCACGTTAATATTTCTTAAGCAAAATGTATGGATATTTCCGCTTAAGTTGACTGGCTGCAGTTCACATTAGAATTTACCTCAAAATGAATCTCAAAAATTAGTCTCGGTTTTTTGCATTTTGGAATTGAAGATAACGGATTGTGGATTTGAATTGCCATCCCTTGGGGGAGAGAATCCACCAAAGTATGGAGTTGCCACATTCCATTTCTTGAAGGCCATACTGCCTGCTGACAATAAGGAAATAAAGTCACAAATTCTGTTTTGCTTTCTTCTGAAAGACCTTATTGTATTCCTAGCAGATGCTTTGTGTTGTCATGAAAGACAGGGTTCAGGTTTTTTGTTAATAATTTTCAATAGCAGCATCCTACCAGCCTGGGTTTTTTTAGTTCAGTGAGGAAACCCATTCCTGTTCATTCCATAGGCTTGTTCTCTTCTGTCTTCAAATTATATTTTCCTGTCTCCAAGCCTGATGACTAGAGTTACCTTATTAAAAATTCTTATTTTTGCTGTTTGGGAACTGAGAACTGGAGAAGATCATACTAATCTGTAACCCTAGACGGTTGTTGGTGGTTGTGGTGGGTTGTTCTATGCCTTCATTGTTCTCGGGTGCTTAGGTCTTTTCAGCCATTTAAAAACTCTAAATACAGTGAAGACCCATGTGTGTGAAGACCTGATCTCATGTATATTACATGTATATTGCAGATACAACATGGGTTCTTGGAGGGAGGGGGCTGAGATTGGGATAGATAAATGGTGCTCAGGCTTCCTGTTCCTCAGGGCCAAAGGTCTTTGCATGTTGGTGGTCCACCTGGCCAGTGTCCAGGGGAGCCACATCTCACATTCCTTCTTTTGCCAGGTCGCAGAGGCAGTGTTAACGTCTCAACTGAAACCAAATCAAGAGAAATCAAATTTTATTATCAAGACCCCAAAGGTAATGCCCTTTGCCCCACCCTGTACCATTAGAGTGCCTTGGAGGACAGCCCTCTGCTCTACTTCTTTTTCCCTGACCCCTCTTAATGTTCTTTTTAAACATTAAACTTTTTAAAAAAAATTTCTTTATTATTCTTGAAATGCTGAGTGGGGCTCAGAGTCATTTAAACTCAAGATACTTCATCTCTAGACGTTAGGTTATAGCTGTAGTTTAACTCTTTGTCTTAAATTGACTCCCGCCCGCCCCCTGTTGGCTGCTTTTGGTTCCAGGGCACCAGGGATCTTAGCCCCCAGCAGATGGTTGTAAGGGAGAAAATTCTTGATACGGTTGTCAGTTGCTTTAAACGGCATGGAGCAAAGGGGTTGGATACTCCAGCATTTGAGCTGAAGGTAAGGGAAAAAGAAAGAATGCCTGGAACCTCATTTCTTCACCTTAACTTTGGTGTCTCAAAGGGCTTCTAGCCTGTGTAGCCTGTGTTCTAGAGTCCTTGGAACTGTATTTCTTCTTATGTTCGACCCCTGCAGGAAACACTCACTGAGAAGTATGGAGAGGAATCTGTGCTCATCTATGATCTGAAGGATCAGGGTGGAGAGCTGTTGTCACTTCGGTATGACCTTACTGTATCCTTTTGAGTGCTGGAGCCTGACCTATCTCTTTTGAAACCCACAGGGATTTATGTGACAAAAGAGAGTGACTCTGAGACCCTATAGGTCCATTGGGGGCCTCTATTCCCAGTTTCTCCAAGAAGGCAATTCTGACAGCAGAGCCTGGGCTGGAGCGCTGTCATTTAACTAATGTGCATCAGAATCCCTTGGTGGACCTTTCAGAAACACAAATTTCTGGCCCCTAGCCCCAGAGATTCTTAATTCTGTAGCTGGGGTGGGCATGCTCAGCAATCTGCATTTTAAACAGGCATCCTGGGTAATTAAGATGCAGGTGATCTGGGCCTACACTCTTAAGAAACAATGGCTTAGAAGTTGTAAGCAAATCCAGGTTCTGAGCTTGACTATTTTGAGAAGGTTGAGAACTGATCTGAATGGGAGGCAATGACCCAGACCTGAAGTTCTTGGGTCATTTTTATCTCTGCTTCTCCTGTTTTCTGCTGAACTTTCAGTTTGGCTAGGTAGGATTTTTTCATTTAATGCTATACAATACATATTGTATGCCAAGCACTGCTGAGGCTTGGGGATTGTGAGAAATAAGACAGAGAAGGTTCTTGTTCTCTGGCTAGTGGATGAGATCCAATTGCTAGAGGCCTAGTCCTCCCTAATGTCTATGCACAGGGCCTAAGCTTTGGATGTAGTATCCTTCCTCCTTAACCTGTTTATATGAGGTCCCTTTTGCTCGTTATCTGGCCATGAATAAAGTGAAGAAGATGAAATGCTATCATGTTGGAAAGGTGTGGCGGCGGGAGAGCCCGACCATTGCCCAAGGCCGCTATAGGGAGTTCTGCCAGTGTGTAAGTGACCTGATGGGGGGTAGTGCAGCTTGATAATTCTGGAGGCCACACCTTGGGAACTGGCTAATGAGTGGAGACTTTTTTTCCTGTCTTTTTCTTTGCTGTAGGATTTTGACATTGCCGGTGAATTTGACCCTATGATCCCTGACGCAGAATGTTTGAAGATCATGTGTGAAATCCTCAGTGGGTTGCAGCTGGGGGACTTTCTTATTAAGGTGAGATCAGTGCTGAGGACTGAGGTGAGAAGTCTGGATTTTCGTGGTGCTGTTGATGCTAGTACCAAAACATAGGTGGCCCAGCCCTTTAGCCTGCAGGGCTTAGTATGGCTGTTGCATTTTCTGTATACTCTTCCTGTGAGACTTTTTTTCTGTCCCTTTTATGAGTCAAGAGAGCAGGGACTGCCATTATTTTGAGGGAAAGCGCATTGACAGGGTACTTGGGTTACTTATATTGAATTCACAGGTCAATGACCGGCGGATTGTAGATGGGATGTTTGCTGCCTGTGGTGTTCCTGAAAGCAAGTTCCGAGCCATCTGCTCCTCCATAGACAAGCTAGACAAGGTAAAAAAGAAGGCATGCTTCAGTAGACCCCATCTAGGTTTCTGTCCTGCTCTCAAATCTACATTTCTAGAGAAGGTAAGGTGACATCTTGAAGCAGAGCCTGAGTTTTGCTGTGCAGTGAGGACTGTGGCTGGATTTCCTAAGCTGCCTCTGACTTTGCTGAATGTAGTATTAGTTACTGCTGACATACATACTGAATGAAAGTGAGATGTCTTTTTGCAGTTAGAGAAAGAAGGGTCTTGAGACTGAGCTAATGTTTGGGTATTTATGCAGATGTCTTGGAAAGATGTGAGACATGAGATGGTGACAAAGAAGAGCCTGGCTCCTGAGGTGGCTGATAGAATTGGGGATTACGTCCAACGTCATGGTAAGAACCAGGGTTTTCAGAGCATTGTGATAGAACCCGGGTAAGCGTAACATCTATACAACTTCTGCCTCTGAAACTGCAGAGATGGTGCAAAACTCCAGAGCCTGGCCTGAATTTAATTCCCCTTTTACTTACCGTAAGCACTCTGTGTTTTCAGATGGCAAAGGTAGAGGCAGAGGAGTGCCTGGTCATATGATCTTTTTTTAGAAAATGAATAGGTCTGGCTGGAGCACATTAGGGATAAATTTGGATGAAACACATCTAGATGAAAATAATAGACCTTATTTTTCCTCACATGTCTGCCCAGGTGGGGTGTCCCTAGTAGAGCAACTGTTCCAGGATCCCAGACTATCCCAGAACAAGCAGGTCCTGGAAGGCCTGGGGGACCTGAAGCTGCTGTTTGAATACCTGACTCTGTTTGGAATTGCTGAGAAGGTAAGATGAGTTGAGAGTGGGCTTCCTGCTGAACTCTGGGCTCCCAGGGTCCTAAGTCTTATCTGAGATTGATGATAGCCTTGTCCCCATAGATCTCCTTTGACCTAAGCCTGGCCCGGGGCCTGGACTACTATACAGGAGTGATCTATGAAGCAGTGCTGCTACAGACACCAAATCAGGCTGGAAAGGATTCTCTGAGCATGGGCAGTGTGGCTGCTGGTGGGCGCTATGATGGGCTGGTGGGCATGTTTGACCCCAAGGGCCACAAGGTGCCATGTGTGGGGCTCAGCATTGGGGTGGAGCGGATCTTCTCCATTGTGGAGCAGAGAATGAAGGTAGGTCCTAGGTATGGGTGAGTGGGGCCAGAGGCCTAAAAACCCTCATGTTTGTGGAGGTGCAGTTGGATTGTTTTCCTGACGACTCTGTTTGTGTTTTGGAGTTATTGATGCAAAAAAGTTTATATTAGTTTTACTGTCTTCTCTCTCTTGTATTAGGTTTTTGGTGAGAAGGTACGGACCACAGAGACCCAAGTATTTGTGGCCACACCGCAGAAAAACTTTCTCCAAGAACGACTGAAGCTAATTGCAGAGCTCTGGGATGCTGGGATCAAGGTATGGTGCAGTTGATATCTGAACTATCTAGGTATATGTGGCATTCAGTCCTGGTCCATTTCCACCTTAATGTTAGGTTGGAACTCCAGAACTTTTTAATTTAGTCTTCAGTAGAGGGGCTTCTTAGGATAGGCGGGTCAGCCACTTACTTCTGGTTTCCTTGGAAATACTTACTCCTAGGATTTGTGTGCTATGGTCACTTCTAAGCCTCCTACTCTGTCTTTACCTTTTTCAGGCTGAGCTACTATACAAGAACAACCCTAAACTACTAACCCAGCTGCACTACTGTGAGAACATGGGCATTCCACTGGTGGTTATTATTGGTGAGCAAGAAATGAAGGAAGGAGTCATCAAGCTCCGTTCAGTTGCCAGCAGGGAGGAGGTGAGTCGGGGCAGGCAGAAATAGAAGGAATCAATGTTTCTATTTTTCCCGGATTCTTTAAGAAATACGTATCTTCTGGCTGGAGAAAGCTCCAGGGTTAATAGGGATAGAGATGAATGAAGATCTACTCCAAATAACTATTGCGGCCAATGAGTATTGGCCAGGTAGGCAGAAGGACAGATGAAATCTGAATGGGTACTTTGAGACTAATCAACAAAAGATATAGATTAGATGTTTGCATTTGAATCCGTTTACTCTTGAGGACATATGTTTTCCACGTCAACCTGAAGCACATATTATTTCCTACTGGTTGCTTAATTAGTGGGAGCAGATGCAGAGTAAAATGAATCTGGAAAAGCAGTGGCTAAGGAGCTGGTATCACTTTCGAGTTTGTCACATGATGGTTCTTTATGTTTCAGGTGGCCATTAAACGGGAACATCTTGTGGGTGAAATTCAGAAACGACTGTCCGATTCTTGATCCTTGCCTGACTGCCGTCTTCTACTCTTTGTAGAAAAAGTTTCATCTAGGACTGAGTTCCTGATGGATATCACGACTGCTGGCCAGGATGGTTGACAAGTGCTTTCTGCCTTTTCCATCCTTCCTTGGTACAGAATTAATAGAAAGCCGTAAAGACTTCTGTGTTCAGTGACCTCAAGTTATTCGTGTGAGCAGTTATTCTGCATGGGGGCAGATGACTGATACCATAAAGAGACATGCTGTAACTGCAGAGGCAGATGACAGGTTTGAAGTGCCACTGATTGCTGCCAACAGGTGCTGAGATGCTTGCTGTGAACAAAGCTCTCAGAGAGTCACCTCAGGTTGAGAGGATTCTGAGCAAATGAGGTCAGAACCCAGATACTTAACCTTCCACTGCAGCTTCTGAAGCTGAGGCTGGTGAATTTTTTCACAACCAGCCCTTGGCCTGTCCAGGGAGTTTTTGGGGACAGCAAGAAGAGGCAATGGTTGCTTTCTGCTAGTGTCTGAAGACAGAGATGCTAAACTACTGGATGCAAGACGGTATCCAGATTGATCTGGTATCTCTCTAGCTCATCCATTGTTAACAACAGGGTTGGGCTGTCTCTTTTAAGATCTTGAATGTCAAACTTAATAGGTGACTTGACAAGATTGAAATCTGATCTTTTGAGATTTTGGAGATCATTTTCTGTGCCAGAGTCACTGCTTTTGACTATTCCATGCCCTTACATAGAATCTGTTGCTGTCAAGTTGATTCCAACTGATAGTGACCCTATAGGACAGAGCAGAACTGCCCCATAGGGTTTCCAAGGAGCGGCTGGTGGATTTGAACTGCCCTTTTGGTTAGTAGCTGAGCTCTTAACAACGGTGCCACCAGAGCTCCCCTTCTATAGTAGTGGCTGTTTTATAATTGGTTGAATATGTTAAATAAAATGTTAAATGTAGTAGTTTGAGTAATTATCAGGGGAGTAGGCCATAGAAAATGCTTGAGTATACACTAGAAAACTAGAACCTTCTTGGGATGATGATTATGTATTCAGTGAAAAGAGCAGCCACAGTCTGTTATGTCTCTAAAAATTGACATACAGCAAGCCATCAGCTAGAGTGCTTCATCATAGAGAGTTGCTGATGAGTGACTTTTCCAAGTCCAATCGTGTTGATTAAATTGTGCCCTATAGGTTGGATGATTATAATGTTTCCCAGTTGAAGGAGAAATGAGTTAACCAAAGGAGTGATAGCATTGCTTCAAGAAAAAGAGACAAGATGCAAAAAGTGCTTTCCATACATTTTTGACTTTTGCAAACACTTCAGCATAGCTTAGGGCCATATCCCTAGTGCATGCAGGTGAATGGGGCATCTGTCGTTAGGTGCTTTAGAGTTGGTTCCGACTCATAGCAACCTCCTGTACAACAAAATGAAACACTGCCTGGTCCTGCGCCATCATCACAGTCCTTGCTATGTTTGAGCCCACTGTTGCAGCCACTGTGTCAGTCTATCTCACTGAGGGTAATCCTTTTTCACTGACCCTCTACCAAGCATGATGTCCTTCTCCAGGGACTAGTTCGTCCTGATAACATGTCGAAGATACGCCATCCTCACTTCTAAGGAGCATTCTCCCTATACTACTTACAAGACAGATTTATTCGTTTTTCTAGCCGTGCATGGTATATTCTTCGCCAACACCACCATTCAAATGGGGCATCTAGACCCTGAAGACAGAGATGCTAAACTACTGGATGCAAGACGGAATCCAGATTGATCTGGTATCTCTCTAGCTCATCCATTGTTAACAACAGGGTTGGGCTGTCTCTTTTAAGATCTTGAGTGTCGAACTTAATAGGTGACTTGACAAGATTGAAATCTGATCTTTTGAGATTTTGGAGATCATTTCTAAGTGCTTTAGCCTTAAACATGGTTTAGAGACTCATGACAATGCATGCAAAGTTGATTAGGCTACAGTAGAGGGCCATGTTTCTGAACTTCAAGGTTCCTCGTTTGTAAATACAGGAGTTGAACTAAATCCCTTAACAGCCGTTCTACGATTGTGTTGAAAACCAGGGCAAAAAACGTTAGCAGGCGCCCTTACTTCCGTATAGCTTCATACAGCCTTTACGCCTGCGCCATCTCCGCGGAGCAGAGGCGGGGTCAACCTAGTTTAGAAGCCCTCCAGTCCTGAGCTCGTTTAGAAAACGACACTCTAAGTTTATTGGAGGACTAGTTTGCTTTACGGCTGAAGGCTGCTTTTTACGACATTTTCCGGCTTCCCATTCACTTCGCAGTGAAGATGGCGTCCGGCAGTGGGGTAGGTGTTTTGTGTGAGGGGGAGGTTTTTGGGGCCTCCTCTGGGCAGAATAGAGGCGGACTGCTGTACGGGACTGGCTACCTGACACCTCCTTGCGACCCCAGGGTCCGCGTGCGAGAGTTCCTCCGTAAGGCCTGGGCGCAGGATCAATGGAATTGTAGAGGTTTCGGGTTAGGGTCCCGAGGCCACCTCAGCCTTCTTTTACGGGTCCGGAGTGGCTCGCTCTCGGAAGGACCTGGGGCCACCTTGGCAACGAGGATGCGGTACCGTTAGTTTCTGTAGGGTTCTGGGCACGGTTAGCGACGGATCTTGAGTGCTTTTTTTCCCCGCAGACGAAAAACTTGGACTTTCGCCGAAAGTGGGACAAAGATGAATATGAGAAGCTCGCTGAGAAGAGGCTCACGGAAGAGAGAGAAAAGAAGGATGGTGAGTGCCTGCTCAAGCAAGAGCCAAGGGTATCATAGAGGCGATGAAATGAGGAGAGCGAGTGGGGAGTTAAAATGCGTTCCCTCTTCCACCCTGTGTAACCTTTGGCGAAGCGTGGCCTCCCCAGATCCTCGGTTTCTTCATGTATAAGGTGAGGGCTATGAGGTGGACTGAAGTGGTTTTTGAGATCCTTTCTAGCTCTGTTGCCCTCTCTTTACTTGGTTCATTTGGTGCTTTCCTGATGTTCAGAGAAGAGGTTGGAATTCTTAGTAATGTCAGAGAGGAAATTAAGTGGTTTGTACTGCTGCTGTGCATTACTGATGTCGAGGACCTCTTCTTTCTCTTGAAATTACTTCAAGAAGAGGAGAATATTTCTGGCTCAGTCAAGACCCTCCCATAGTCTGAGAACAGCAGGAGTACTGATCAGGGAACCGTGTTACTGTTTCAGCTAGTGCTTGGTAATGCTGTTTCTCTTTGCCTTGTACAATGTCAGGGAGTTGGAGCTCCACTCCTGCATAAAGATCCCACTTGACAAAAAGAAATGTTTTATTTTCTTGTTTATTTCCAAATTTGTACATCATTTTTCCATTTTAGTTTCACATCACTTTGCACTAACAACTCTTTCTTTTTTTATGTAATATGTATGATAATGCTTGGCCCATAACTGGTTCTTCCTAAATGATGGTTCCATTCCCCACCCACTCTCCGTTTTATTTTGAAGCAGCTCTCCAAAGGTTCCTTTCTATGTTGTGCTTAGGGTATCTGCCTGAGAGCATTACTGAGTGTCCTTGCTCTTCTTTCAAAAGGTTGCTTTTGGTGTAGACTCTTCCCTTCAACTCAGTTAATGAATAGAAAACATGTTGCTTTTAGACTTGCTGGCTTTAAAGTGGAGAAAAGCTATAAAATGTTGGGGATTGCTTATCATTTATTCCTGTGGTTAGGCTTTTCCTATTTGCAGCCTTAAGTGCCCATTGTATCCCTTTCTTCAGGAATCAAAAAAGATATAAATGAGTGTAGAGTTCTGCATTTTGGATTTCATACATTTATTTTCCTTTTTTGGTTGGGGAACTGTGATATTGAGAGGCTCCCTTCCCCATTATGTTCCAGGAAAACCAGTGCAGCCCGTCAAGCGGGAGCTTCTGCGGCACAGGGACTACAAGGTGGACCTGGAATCCAAGCTTGGAAAGACAATTGTCATTACCAAAACCACCCCGCAATCTGAGATGGGAGGGTGAGTTGCTAGTCATCTTTCTCTGCAGCCAACAGTGGATCTAATAAACTATATTGGTTTTAAGAAGTGCTGAGAAGCGCCCCTGGCCCCAGGATAACAACTTTTTTGCCTGTAATTCCATTCGTAGATTTGTTTTTCTTTTAGTCTCCCAGTTAACAAGATAACGTCTCTAGGAGGGGTTACTCTATAGGCTTTGACATATTAGCATAATAAATACTTCTTAATATTTTAAAAGGGATTGTTTGTTATCCTGCCAGAGAAAGAAATGAAGGAAAATACTGAAGAGATTTCTAGGGAGAAATTAGCTGGAGCTAGAATGGAGCCTAGGAGCCCTGGTGGTCCATTGGCTGTTAAGCACTTGGCTGCTAACTGAAAGGTCAGTGGTTCAAACCCACCAGCTGTTCTGCAGGAGAAAGATGTGGCAGTCTGCTTCAATAAAGATTTATGGCCTTGGAAACTCTATGGGCCAGTTCTACTCTGTCCTACAGGATCTCTATGAGTCGGAATTGACTTAACGGCAGTGGGTAGAATGGAGCCTAGGAGTTGTTGATGGTGGAGAAAGGGAATTGGTATTCCAGACAGGCCGTAAAGGCTGTAGTCGTTATGGATTGCCTGGTTGTGCACCTTACTCCCAGACCAAGACTGTAACTTATAAGAAGGGTCCCACGGAGCTTTTCACCTTTCTGCCCATCACTACTGCTGCGTCCAGTTTGTTAAGTTTTCCAGCAGGAAGGCAACACAGATAACAATGAGTGATGTACTTAGTAATAAACTCACTGTTGTCATTCCTTTCTCTGTTAGTTATGTACTGGTGTGTAATAATTGCCCCAAAACTTAGCAGTTTAAACAAATATCTCCCAAGTTTCTATGCGTCAGTAATCTGGAAGTGGTTTAGGTAGGTCGTTCTGGCTCAGAGTCTCTCTCAAAGCTGCAGTCAAGGTGTTGGCTGCGACTGTAGTCATCTGAGGCTTGAATGGGATTGGAGGATCTTCTTCCAAGCTATGTCATATGACTGTTGGTTGGAGGCCTCAGTTCTTCACTTTATCAGACTTTCCATAGGGCTGCTCACAACAAGGCAGCTGACTTTACCAGAGCAAGTGATTGAGGCGGAAGGGACAGAGGGATGGGCTAAGACAGAAGCCATAGTCTTTTATAACCTAATCTTGGAAGTGACACACCATCACTTTTTCCACTTTCTGTTGTTCGCAAAACCAACCCTAGTACAATGTAGGAGAGGAATACACAAGTTTGTGGATACTGGGAGGTGGGGGCTGTCTTGGAGGTTGGCTACTGTGTTCTCTCAAGAGCTAAGGCTTTATGGAAACGAAAATTGGCTGTTTAGTGTAAAAAGACTGAGACGATTTTACCTAAAAATAAGAGTTTCTTAATTGAAAACAATGAGATCCTTACAACCAGATTAGGCCTAAGTGCTGTTCTTCTTGTTCGCTAGTTATTACTGCAATGTCTGTGACTGTGTGGTGAAGGACTCCATCAACTTCCTGGATCACATTAATGGAAAGAAACGTAAGGTTTGGAGGTAGTTTGTGACAGGCTGGGATTGGGCTTTGAAGGTGAGGGGGGTGGAAAAGGGTAGTTTCTATTGGGTCCTTTTTATGCCTGGGAAATTCTCCAGTTGCTTCAGTACAGACCATTCTTTTATCTTCCTTTTGGAAGCCATGAGGTGAGATACTGTTCTAGGCTCTCAAAAAGCCCAAACCACACTCTTCTCCTATGCCCAGTTCCCCCTACTGGTACCGTCTATGCTGCTCAGTAAGGGCAGTTGAAAGCCACTTGCATCTTGTTAACTGGGGCTGCTGCTTCTGGGAACAGGTGTGGCCGTGGAGTTTCTTTCAGCCATAATTATTTTTGCTGTGTGTTTTATAAGAAGATTTTTTTTAAAGTCAGGAAGACTTTGAGAGGCTGAGGACATTGTAATGACCTTGTCTTTTTCCTTGTTGACCCCATCCAGATCAGCGAAACCTGGGTATGTCTATGCGTGTGGAACGTTCCACTCTGGATCAGGTGAAGAAACGCTTTGAAGTCAACAAGAAGAAGATGGAAGAGAAGCAGAAGGATTATGATTTTGAGGAAAGGATGAAGGAGCTCAGAGAAGAGGTAAGGCTCTGCTTCCTTCCCTGCCCCCAGCCTGGAATTTTATGAGTCATGGGGAGGCCCTCTTCCTAATCCCACTTCCATCCCCAGAGGATAGTTCTTTCCTCTGAATTTCTATATGTAGGGGAAACATTTATTGCCCTTTTTTGAGACTCTCATGTTCTGGAAGAAATGGCTCCAAACCTACCCTTTTCTCTTGGACCGTCTAGGTCATGTTTTTTTTTCTCTTTTTTACTACAGAAGGGATTAATTAAATGCATCTAGTCTCTGAGAGGAGAGCCTGGTGGCGTAGTGGTTAAGAACTACAGCTGTTAACCAAAAGGTTGGCAGTTCAAACCTACCAGGCGCTCCTTGGAAATGCTATGGGGCAGTTCTACTCTCTTCTGTAGGGTCGCTGTGAGTCGGAATCGACTCGATGGCAACAGGTTTGGTTTTTTTTCAGTCTCTGAGAGGCCCCTGAAACCATCCTTGACTGGGTCAGAATTGTTTCCTCCACTTACAGGCTATGAATCTTAGGCAAATTACTTAACCTTTCTGTGCCACAGTTTCCCCATATTAGAGAGCTTAGTATAAAATACATAAAGCAGTTAGAACAGTCCTGGCATATGCTACATGCTCCAGAATGTTAGTTGCTGTTACATGGTTTTGCTCCTAAAATCTTAAGAGCTAGAGAGAAACCTGGGTTTAGGATTGAGAAGTACTTCTCCGGAGGCTAAAACTTCTCTTCATTCTCCTTTATAATCGTTACTGTGACTTTTCCTCAGCTCTTGTGACTTTACTTGTCTTTAACTATTTTTCCTAAAGATAGAAAGGAATCTTGAAGTACTCTTGTCTCTTTGGACAGCTGTTTGACTCAGGAATCTGAACTAATTCTGAGTGATTTCTCCCCCCCACCCCCACCCCACTCAGGAGGAAAAGGCCAAAGCCTACAAGAAAGAGAAACAGAAGGAGAAGAAAAGGAGGGCTGAGGAGGACTTGACATTTGAGGAGGATGATGAGATGGCAGCTGTGATGGGCTTCTCTGGCTTTGGTTCTACCAAGAAGAGTTACTGAGGCTTTCTATGCTTGGCCCTTTGCTGGGCCTAACTTTGTATGTGTCGGGGGTAATTTCTTTTTTGGGCACTTGGGGAAAGTCCTTAAGAGTGGCAATGGCGAGGGTTAGAGGTTAGATGTTTGTGCTTTCTCTTTACCTTGGGAAAGGGCACAAGATACAGAGGTAATGCTGTGGCATATTCTCTCATCCTCAGTATATCACTGGAGTCACAGGACCTCTACCCATCTTAATTCCCAATAAAGAAACACCTCCCCTTCTGAGGCTGCTTTCCCAAAACTCCCCCTGCATCTTTCCGTCTTCATCTACCCAATCCCTTGTCTCAGAATACTGTTTATCCTGTGTTCTGCTGTTGTTTTAATTTGACTCTTGCTCAGCCTGCAGCAGAAGGGTTCTCTGGGTCCCCCAGTGTCCAGTTGATGGCATGTCCTTGGCCAGCTCCCTCCTTCCCCCATCCTGCCCTGTGGTTCTCTAGCCACCTGTGCATGCTTATGTACTTCTGCCTGGGTCAGTAGTATGTATGGGTGTGTGTGCATGAATCTGTCACATAGAGGGTGCCTGAGTTAGAACCCCAGAGCATTGCTGCCCTGGGGACTGATGTTCTTGGCTTCCTCAGAGCATGTAACAGGACATTAAATGGGATGAGTGTTTGGTGTGGTTTGTGTCTGGTGAGTTTTTTAACCTTTGTTGTTCAGATGCAGTCTGTTTCAGCTTCTCATGTTTGTTTCATTTTATTGAGGAGTTCTCTGTTTTTGTCTTCCTTGTGAGCAGGCTCTTGGAAGAACCTGTTTGATGCAAAAAAGAAAAAAAAAAAAAAAAGAAAAAAAAAAACACCTCACTATGGGATCCCCTGGGTCTCAGAAGCTGTTCAACATTTATAATAAATGGCATTAACTGGGCCTGTTTCACGTTTGGTGGGAACATTCCATATTCTTCCTGTGTATATATTTGTCTTTCCTTCCCACACTAAGGATTTCTGAATATTCTGAATAGAGCTTATTTTTCATTCTCCCTTCGTTTGAGCCCTGTCACTTTTTTTTTTGGCCTAGGTTCCTTCAGCCTGAATTGTATCTTCCTCTGATGTGGGATCCTTGTGCCACTAAGAGTAGTCTTGGCAAAACTCCCCGTAATTTCAGCCTCCTCTGATCTTCTGGTTTTGGAACAGCAGAGCTTAGGGTTGAACTTAGTGTTTTCTTTACTATCTGGAACTGGGCTAGGTACAGGACTACTCAATCTTGGCACTATTGACATTTTGGGCCAGATAATTCTTTGTTGTGGGGGCTGTCCTCTAGGGTGTTTAACTGCATCCCTAGCCTCTACCCACTAGATAACCAGTAGCACTGCCTTCAAGTTGTGACAATAAAAAATGTTTATGTCCCTTGAGGGGCGCAGGGCAGAAGTCCTCCCCTGCCTCCCGTTGAGGACCACTGAGAAGAAACGGCTACGCTGGCCTAACTTGGAAGTTAGATGGCACAGACTGGCTTACTTAAAAAAAAAAAATGATATTCTGTGGGTCAGGTGCTGTGTTAGGTTCAGGGGATGCAGAGGAAAGAGAAAAAAAAAAAAAGACCTTCCCTCCAAAATAAATAAAAGAGTAAAAGGAAGATAGTCCAATCATTACACCAACTTCAAGCAGATGAATTTTGGGACAACTTTTGCTGGTTCTACACCCCAAAAAGGGGGGTCTATTTGGGTTAACAAGGGTGCCACCATATGACCTGTTTACTTTCTCTGACTCATTTTGCTCCTCGCATACCTTTCTATAGTATCTAAATGACTTACGAGTTTCCCAAAGCACCATACTTGTACAAAATTCCATTGCTATCAGGCATGCCTTTTGCCTAATTTATTTCTGATCCTGAATCTTGGCACTGGGAACACTACTTGAATATGTCTTCACCTGTTGCTTTAAGGCCTGGCTCAAAATTCATAAATGGTACTTGTTGACTAATTGTGGACAGATTAGTAAGTATTTGCCTTGGCAGGATTACATGCACTCCAGGCCCTAGACTAAGTATTTACCCAAGTTGACTTGGTCATTTTGCTATCGTTCCCCAGCCAGGCAGGAGAAGATTTCATTGAGGTGAGTTCCTCCTCTGGTTTGGTATTCATTTTTTAGGAAACCATTTAACTGAGCTTAGCTTCAAATTCTTTATTTCTTTGTGGTACAGTGCAATGTTACCTCTGGTTACTTCTCCTAAAAAGCAATTCTGAATTCCAGGTTCTCTAAATACTCTTGGGATTGGCAAGTTGTTTGAATCTGTCTGGATCATGAATGTTTGGAAGGGCTTACGGTGGTAGCTTGAAAAAGGGGAGGAAGGAAATGGGGTGGAAATTCAGGAGCCCAGAGCAATTCCAGAGAACTCAAATCTCTGTAAGAAAAACTTTGATATTTGAGGTCTTTCAAAAATCCATGGAAGTTTTGCATTCTGGTTTAGGAAATATGCCTGTGTCTGATCTTCAGTTAATTCAGCTAAAATTAACGAGCACCTAGGACTCATTAGGAGTGGGCCTTGGTGGTATCTTCTGGGCAAGGTATCAAGGTCCCAGCCATCCTGGAATTTACATTCTAGTGGAATTGCCAGTTAAAAGTAAAAGATCCATATGGTTTCAGATCTTGTGGCTTAAGGCACCTTCATGGCCTCCTGCATCTCTCCCATAACTCCTCAAAAAATCCAGCAATTCCACTCATAAACATTTATCCTAAAAATATACTTGAATATATGTATACGTATATGTACAAAAAAGTTTACTTCAGCTATATGATAGTGACACGTTAACAAAACTGTACATTTATATTTGAATATAATATGTTAATATATGAATTAGATCTGTATTTACTGATAGGAAAGATCTCCAAGACATACTGTTCAGTAAACAAAAATACCCAACAAACCAATCCCCCGTAAATCAAAAAAGAAAAACTATTTTGTGTATAGTTCCATATATGGATACATATAGAGAAGAAAGGGACCGGAGGGTACACACTGAAATATTACCGGTGGGTAACGAGGAAAGAGGCTTGTGGGAGGAAAAGGGTTAGCTGCTTATGGTATATATAAAAGAAACACGTATTCATGTGGTATTAAAAGTTAAATAGTTTAATAATAAGGAGCCCTGGTGGTGGAATGGTTAAGCCCTTGGCTGCTAACCGAAAGGTTGGCAGTTGGAAACTTTCCTCTGTGGGAGGAAAGACCTGGTGATCTGCTCCCGTAAAGATTACCGTCTAGGAAACCCTATGGGGGCAGTTCTACTCTCACACGGGGTCGCTATGAGTCGGAATGGACTTGATGGCACACAACAACAACAAAGTAATAAACGGCAGAACTATATAACACCTGGGAGAGGGGTTGCAGGGTTTATCTGGTTTAGCGGGAAGCTCCAAGATAAGGCCTAAAAGTAAACAATATTTTAGAGCTTTTAAAATTTCCACTCCCCTGATTTCAGGCACTGGCTGTAAAGTTGATCGTGGAGCGACCCCTGTTAGGTAGTCTGGGAAGCGTGGAGGCGGAGGGAGTGTCCAGAGACGTGTGGAGGACCAGGTAACCGCTGCGTGGTAGGAGAGAAAGAGCCCAGACGCAGTTGCGGAAGAGCTCACTAGACGAAAAGGAAAGCCTGGGTCTTTCTCCCTGATGGTGTGTTCCCAGAAGGACACTCTGTCTACAGGTAGAGGCGGATCGGACAGTTTTTCGGAAGCTGAGCGGCTGTGAAACGCTCTTGGCCTGGCTGACTCCACCCCTCAGAACTTTGTGACGCATGAAAGCTATACGTAGTCTCACTAGTGAAGAAATTATAATTGAAAAGCTGCTCTCGGGCTGGCTTTAGCTCAGCGGTTCCTTCGGTGCATCTCCAGTACTGTAACTGCCCTTTCGAGGGTGGTTCGAGACCCGCGGGCGCTCTCCAGCCCTTTTTTGCCGTCGGCCTTTTAAATATTTTTTTCAATTTCCCCGTAGCAAGCCTTTGAGTGAGTGTTTTTGAGATCCCCTCCCCTGCAGAGTGCTACCGGAAAGACGAGACGGTTCCGCGGATTTTCAGCTTCTTCAGGACTATAAAAGGAACCAGCACTCTTCGGAGAGATGACTGATTCTAGGACTGAGGCAGAAAAAATACAAGATGAACCTGGACCATCTTGTAGTTCCAGAAAGTAAGGAAGTGCAAAAAAAAAAAGTAAAAACAAAACAAAAACCTCTGTATTTTTAAATTACTTTTGGTGTTTAGTAATATTTGTGTTTTTTGTTCTAGTGGTTACCTTTATACTTGTATCTCTTATAATGTCCTTAGATTCCTTTTCCTTACTTGGGCTCTATTTGGTTTGTCAGCTATATGTTTGACTCCTTCCTGTTAGTTATGTAACTATCAGATATTTTATTCTACATTTCCCACTCTTCACATTTTTTAGTCGTGTTACTTTTAGAAAACAGAATTTGCTTACTATTCTTCAGTCCTTGTCACCACCTTTGAGTTGTAAATCAACAATTTAATATATTTAATGCTTATCATCATCATATTTTCTGACTTTGCCTCAGCTCTTGTTTGGATGAAGCTTATGCCCAGTTCCTCAGGAAGGGCTCGTGAGTACAGTATTCTCTCAGTTCTTGCATATTTAAAAATGGTTTATACTTGAAGGACCGCTTGGATATGAAATCTTTGGTTCCACACTTTCTTTTCCTTGAGTTTCTTGAAAATGTTTCTTCTTTGTTGCCTTTCTTTGTTTGATGTTGTGAAGCCTGATACCAACCTGATTTTCTTTCCTGTGTAAATAATACGGTCTTTTTGTCTGAGGCCCAGAGGATTTTTTTCTTTCAAATCTGATCAGTTTTCTAAGATATGCTTCAGAGATGACCATTCCATATCAGTTTTCCTAGGTTCATGGAGGACCTTTTCAATATGTACGTTCAAATTTTTTATTTCCAGAAACCTTTTAAAAGTGTGATATGTATATATATATCAAATTGTTTGCCTTTTCAGCATTTTTCACATGTACATTTCAGTGACATTAGTTATGTTTACCAAGATGACCATTATTCGTTTCCAAATTTTCCCATCACCCTTAACAGAAACTCAGTGTTGGGTAAGTAGTGAGTCTCCCATTTCCCCTCCCTTCCATTCTCTGGTAACCACTCATATGCTTTGGTCTCTATACACTTGCTTATCCTAGATATTTAATAGAAGTGGAATCATACAGTTGTGTCCTTTTGTGACTGACTTATTTCATTCAGCATAATGTTTTCAAGGTGCATCCCTGTTACAGCATTATCAGGACTTCATTTCTCTTTATCGCCAAGTAATATTTCATTGTATGTATGTACCACGTTTTATTTATCTATTCATCTGTTGTTGGACATTTAGGCTGTCTACCTTGTGGCTGTTGTGAACAGTGCTGCAATGAACATTGGTATACCAGAAAGTTTTCTTATGGTTTTGCGTATCACTTCTGTTGCATTATTATTTTTGTTCTTCAGGGACTGTAATATATGTTGTTTTTTTTTTTGCCTCACTTCTATGTTATTTTCTCTCTGATCTTTCTTACTGCTTGATTTTATTTTTGTGGCTGTATTTATTCCTCTCCTCAATACTAATTATTTTATACTAAGTAAAATTTCTTCTGCCTTGGCTATCTTATAATTTAGTCTTTTTTTGTTTTTTTGTTAGATTATTTGTCTTTTCCTTCAATTTCCTGATTTTGGTCAACTCTTGTCCCACATTTTTTTGTTTTTTGTCTATTTCTGACCTGACTTATTTTTCTTATTCAAGGTATCACTAAATGGTTGCTTATGGTTATTTAATTTAGGTTGAGATGTTGTGTTTTGGGTTTTCTCTGTGCCCTGGTTAATTTTTTTTTTTAATATTAATTCTCATTTTTTGTTTTTTTTATATAATATCATGCTTGCCATTTTTATGTTCATTTTGAAATGTCTTATTTTCCAGTTTCAGCAATTGCAAATGAGGAAGGAGTCCTCCAGGGCCTTGCCAGTTTCTTAGTTCTTAGTTCAAGAGTGTTGGCAGAATGAAGAGCACTTTTTTTTTTCTTTTTTCCCAAAACCAAACCCATTGCCATCGATTCTGACTCATAGCGACCCTGTGGAAGAAGGCACTTTTTTGGGTGGAGGAAAGATTGATGTATCTTCAGTTTTTTCATTCTTTTTTATTTTTGTGGGACTCTTAATTTTTACTGCTTCCTTCCTTCATCTTCACCCTAAAGCACTCAATGGCTACCTCCCTTTCAAGTTGCCTCTTTTTTAAAAGTGATGACTTCCTTCTGTATAAGTGAGCCAAAGATGGCATCTGTGTATTCGTTCTAGGTTGTTTATTTCTTCATAGCAAACTGGGGCCCAGTAGCCCAAAATCCTGTCTGTACGCACCAAACTCAAATTTTTGCACATCCAATTGTTTTAAAAATAGCCAAATAAGCAGATTTTTAGTTAACTTAGAGCTTGCCTGTTTTACATACTGTGTGAAACCAAGCCCGTTATCTGCTAGCTATTGTCCCAGTGGTACAGAAAACCAAGTCTATTGAAGATAAAATCACAGAGATTTATTCCAAGCAAAGATTACAGTTTGAACTGGGAACAGCACAGCTCACTGAAATGAGACAGTGGTGTCTGAATAGAGGGTCTGAGTCAGGGATAATTATACTGTGGCATTAGCCACAGGTTATTCTTGATTGGTGCATCTCTGATGAGGGGAGTGGGAGGTGGGATCTTGTGGGGGGTAGGGGAGGTACCTTATTGGTTCAGAGGGTATAGCTGCAAAACACTGATTGGTTACCAATTATTAATAGCTATAATTAGAGATTACAGATAGTTTCACAGCATGCTTAAATAGTGGTCACAAGATGCTTACATATATTTTCTCTGTTTATCTTGCAAAAGGAGCCCTGGTGGTGCAGTGGTTAAGAGCTACAGTGAGCTACAGCTGCTAACCAAAAGGTTGGCAGTTTGAATTCACCAGCTGCTCCTTGGAAACTCTGTGGGTCAGTTCTGCTCTGTCCTATAGGGTCACTATGAGTCGGAATTCACTCTATGGCAACGGGTTTGGTTTTTTGTTTACATCCTGCAAAAATACCTTGCTGGCAACAGCACCCAGAGAACACTCTTCCTGAGTAAATGTATTTTGAGGAGTGCAGATAGTCACTTGGTTGAGACCCCTCCAGGGCGTATGGTTTCATATCCTGGTTTTGACCTCTGACGAAAAATGTAGCTGTTAGACTAGAAATCCATATTAAAATTAGATAGCATAGTCAGCATATTACGCCTCTGTCTCACTGACTATACTGAAAGTTTGTTTTTCTGAGACAATTCCCTCCTTTTGATCAAAGATCTCATAGAGCATCCTTTGATCACTGATGGATTGAATAGTCTCCCACAAATGGACACACTTGCTACTGTTGTTTAAAGTTATGGATTGAATTGTGTCTCCAAAAATATGTGTCAACCTGGCCATTATTCCCAGTATTGTGTGGTTGTCCACCATCTTGTGATCTGATGTGATTATTCTATGTGTTGTAAATCCTAACCTCTATGATGTTAACGAGGCAGGATTAGAGGCAGTTATGTTAATGAAACAGGACTCAGTCTATAGGATTAGGTTGTATCTTGAGTCAGTCTCTTTTGAGCACATCCTTTGGACCTGAGGTCCCTGCACTGAGAAGCTCCTAGACCAGGGGAATATTGATGACAAGGCTCTTCCCCCAGAGCTGACAGAGAGAGAAAGCCTTCCCCTGGAGCTGGTACCTTGAATTCAGACTTCTAGCCTCCTAGACTGTGAGAGAATAAATTTCTGTTTGTTAAAGCCATCTGCTTGTGGTACTTCTATTATAGCAGCGCTAGATAACTAAGACATTTACTCTAGTGGCTGCTTGAATTATCAAGCATTTTAGACCTTGGATGCCACATGGCAATGGTGATTGCCCACCACTGGATATTTTCCTTTTACCTTGACATAGTGGAGTTCTCCTCTTCAGGGCAAGCTGATCTCATGTCCCCCACAGAAGGGTAACTCATCTTCTGCAAGGTTTTCCCTAGCTTCATCATGCTTTAGAGGGAGGCACTCCAGTGGGTCTCAAAAGGAGGAGGGAAGGAGGCAACAGTATCAGGTACAATGGGCCAGAGGCACAAAGGGCTGACTTATTTTTTCAGTCCTTCAAGTAGGTTTTCATCAAGGTCTTCAGTGACCTGGGTGGTTTCCAAATACATTATCCTTTTCATGGACATCACGTTAACTCTTGAGGTCAAAACACGAGTGGTTAATTTCATGCAACATTTGACAATGCCAATTATAATGACAATAACCATTAAAATTATAATTCCAGTGAACAAAATTGATCTAATTCAGGCTCCCATTCCTTGTGGAAACCAACTGAACACATCAGTAAGAGAAAACCTTGCTCCCATATCAGAAACATGTAACCAGGTGGCTTTCTGGCGAATTTACATGATATCTTGTTTTACTTCTCCAGAGGTATTAAGCCAAGTGCAACATGAGGTATTGGCTATAGCACAAATGCTTCCTTGTTGGGCTAATAAAAAATCAAGAGCTATTCTGTTGTCCTGTACTTTGGCGAGAGAATTTAAAGACTTTTGCTGAGCTGCCATCCCATTAGCAACATCATTACTTATTTGTTCCATGGAGACTGAGAAATTGCGAATGGATTTCTCAATTTCAGGGATGTCTACCAACGGCAAGAAACCTCGGAGGAGAGCCCATCCGTCTCCAGACATATCCATCATTGGGTTGTGAGTGGAGTCTCTGTTTATTCTCTTTTTCTCTAATAATTGTAAATCATTGGTCCAATGTACACTGTCATTGTATGAATGAATATCCAGGGGGATGCCTATACATTCCAAGGTGCATTGGCCCATCATGTTCATCCATCTAAATAGGGCAGCGCCCAAGTGTAGGGTTCATTGCTTTGGTCTAGTTTCTTTTCAGTGGGATAATTTGATCTCCCATCTAAAAATACATATCCATAAGGAGCACAGATCATGTTGTTCCTGGTATAATTATGTGGGAAGGAAATGTTTTGATTTACTTGCTCAAGCCAAGGTTCTGTTAGAGAATTGTTACAAATGGATAACCATCCCATTGTTAAAGGGTCCCAGAGTCTAGTAGAAAGAGGAGATAAGCCATTCTTCCTACACTCAGGTAATTCCTTTGCCTTGATAAAATCTCAAAGTATCTGGGGGAATTCTCCATGTTGGGACGAATAGCTAATTCAGCAAACACCAACACCCCTGCATTCTGCAAAACAAACTGTCAAGCGCCCCATGACCGACCTCGTTAGGTGTTATGGGTTGGGGTAAATTAAAGCATGCTATTTGAGGTTGGGCCAATGATCCAGGAGGATGCCATAGTCTAACACGTATGGCTCACTTAAGGGTGATGTTGGAGTTAATGGTTGTATGGGGTATGAAACTATAATTCAGTATGGTGGATGCTAAAGGATCAGAATTGGCAAAACTGGATTTTGGGGAAGAGTGACAAATCCAACATTCAGTGAGATTATCAGTGCTAGCTACTGCGTGGGACAAAGTAACAAAGGCATTTTCATGCCAGGTATTAACTTGAACTATGAACAGAGATAGAAGAATACTTCAGGTAAGCTTTGTAGTGTAAAAAAATTGCCCAAAAGAGGTATATAAGGGCTAGTAACATGCACAAAAACAACAACAACAAAAAAACAAAAACCCGTTGCCATGGAGTCAATTCTAACTCATAGTGACCCTCCAGGACAGAGTAGAACTACCCCATAGGGTTTGCAAGGAGTGGCTGGTGGATTCAAACATATGGCCTTTTGGTTAGCAGCCAAGTTCTTAACCACTGCATCACTAAGGCTCCAAATAATAGCTATAATGAAATAAAATCCTCCAGTAACTAACATATGAGTATGTGGGACTAAAGTTTGTATTGCTGTTACGACCATGAAAAAAAGCAAATTGCTAAAAGACTTAGTAATAAAAGATATTAACAAGGTTTCAAAATTAGCATAGGACATGAGCCACTTAATCCAGCTGTCCTAACTTGAGATTTCAAAGATGATCAAGATTAAACATGAAGCTATGACTAGGAAAATTTCATCTTTCATGGAAAGTCAATTATTCATGGTATGCTACAAGTGGTGGGTGCTGTTGATACAGGTCCAGATTCACAGGATAATACGCATGGAATCACTTCAAAGTTTGAAGGAGAATTATGAAAGTAATAGATATAAAAATGTGAATGAAAATTAGTCCAAGAATTTCAGCTGGTTTAATACAGGCCTGGTCCTGATATCTTGGGCGGAAGCTGTCTGCTCAGCTGTTAGCTACTTCTTGTCCTGGTGCCTTTTTAATTTTTTTAAAAAATTTTTTATTGTGCTTTAGGTGAAAGTTTACAGTGTAAGTTAGTTTCTCATTCAAAAATTTATACAGAGATTGTTTTGTGATATTGGTTGCAATCCCCACAATGTGTCAGCACTTTTCTCCTTTCCACCCTGGATTCCCTGTGTTCATTTGTCCAGTTTTCCTGTCCCTTCCTGCCTTTGCTTTTGGGCAGGTGTTGCCCATTTGGTCTCGTATACTTGATTGAATTAAGAAGCACATTCCTCACGTTACTTGTTTTATAGGCCTGTCTATAATCTTTGGCTGAAAGGTGGACTGTGGGAGTGGGTTCAGTTCTGACTTAGCAGGGTGTCCAGGGGCCATAGTTTCAGGGGTTCCTCTAGTCCCTGTCAGACCAGTAAGTCTGGTCTTTTTTGTGAATTTGAATTTTGTTCTACATTTTTGCCCCACTCTGTCTGGGACCCTCTATTGTGATCCCTGTCAGAGTGGTCGGTGGTGGTAGCTGGGCACCATCTAGTTCTTAGGCTCAGGCTGGTTCACGTGGTCCATTAGTCCTTTGGATTAATACTTCCCTTGTGTTTTTTCATTCTTCTTTGCTCCAGACAGGATGAGACCAATAGATGTATCTTAGATGGCCACTTGCAAGCTTTTAAGACCCTAGATGCTACCCACGAAAGTAGGATGCAGAACATTTTCTTTATGAACTGTGTTATGCCAGTTGACCTAGATATCCCCCAAGACTATAGTCTCCAGCCCTCAGTCCCAGTAACTTGGTCCCTCAAGGTGTTTGGATGTGTCTAGGAAGCATCTATGACTTTGCCTTGGTCAAGTTGTGCTAACTTCCCCTATATTGTGTGTTATCTTTCCCTTCACCAGAGTTAACACTTGTCTACTATCTGGTTAGTGATTTCACCTCCCCACCCCCCTCTCCCTTGTAACCATCTGTCTTAGTCATCTAGTGCTGCTATAACAGAAATACCGCAAGTGGATGGCTTTAACAAAGATAAGTTTATTCTCTGACAGTCCAGTAGGCTATAAGTCCAAATTCAGAGTGTCAGCTCCAAGGGAACGCCTTCTCTGTCGGCTCTGGAGGAAGGTTTATGTCATCAATCTTCCCTTGGTCTGGGAGCTTCTCTGCGCAGGAACCTCAGGTTCAAAGGACATGCTCTGCTCCAGGCTCTGCTTTCTTGGTGGTATGAGGTCCCTATGTGTCTCTGCTCACTTCTCTCTTTTATATCTCAAAAGAGATTGGCTTAAGAAACTATCCAATCTTGTATACCTCATCAGTATAACTGCCACTAATCCATCTTATTACATCATAATGATTGAATTTACAACACGTAAGGAAATCACATCAGATTACAAAATGGTACACATTCCTACAGTACTGGGAATCATGACCCAGCCAAGTTGACATATTTTTAGGGGACACAATTCAATCCATCACACCATCGAAAATTGTTTTTTTTTCTGTATGTACACTTTTCTTTTTTTATGGGGGTAGAATTTTTTTTCCATTTTATTTTTTTTTATTGTTGTAATTAAATGAAGTTTGTATTTCAAGTTAGTCTTCCATACAAATTTTTTTTTTTACATACATTGTTATGAGACCCCAACCGCTCACCCCATTCTGCGACAGTACACCCTCCCCTCCGCCCCTGATTCCCCATGAACATTCAACCAGCTCCTAACTCTCTCTGCCTTCCCATCTCACCTCTGGACAGAAGCTGCCCCTTTGGTCTCTTGTATCTACTTGACTAAGAGGCACATTATTCATGAGTATCACTTTATGTCCCACAGTACAGTCCAATCCCTGTCTGAAGAGTTGGCCTTGGAAATTGTTTTAGTTCTGGGCTGATAGAGAGTCCAGGGGCCATGCTTTCTGGGGCACCTCCAGTCTCAGACCATTAAGTCTGGTCTTCTTACTAGAATTTGAGTTCTGCACCCCATCCTTCTACTGCTCCATCAGGGCCCCTCTGTTCCTTGTCAGGACGTTTATTGGTGGTAGCTGGGCACCATCTAGTTCATCTGGTCTCAGGCTGATAAAGTCTCTGGTTTATGTGGCCCATTCTGTCTCTTGGGCTAATACTTTCCTTGTGTCTTTGGTGTTCTTCATTCTCCTTTACTCCAGGTGGTTGGGACCAATTGATGCATCTTAGATGGCCGCTTGCAAGTTTTTAAGACCCCAGCTGCCACTCACCAAAGTAGGATGGAGAACATTTTCTTAATAAGCTTTGTTATGCCAGTTGACCTAGATGTCCCCTGAAAGCATGGTCCCCATACCCCTACCCCTGCTACTCTGTCCCTCAAAGTGTTTGATTGTATTCAGGAAACTTCTTAGCTTTGGTTTAGTCCAGTTGTGCTGACTTCCCCTGTAGTATGTGCTGTCCTTCCCTTCACCTAAGATGATTTTCATCTACTATCTACTTAGTGAATAACCCTCACCCTCCCTCCCCACCCCTGTAACCATCAAAGAACGTCTTCTTCTGTGTTTAAACCTTTTCTTGAGTTCTTATAATAGTGGTCTTATACAGTATTTGGCATTCTGTGACTGACTGAATTCACTCAGCATAAGTTCCAGCTTCCAGCATGTTATACGATGTTTCACAGCTTCATCATTGTTCTTTATCATTGCGTAATATTCCACTGTGTGGATATACCATTTCTTTATCCATTCGTCCGTTGATGGGCACCTAGGTTGCTTCCATCTTTTTGCTACTGTGAACAGTGCTGCAATGAACATGGGTGTGCATATATCTATTCATGTGACAGCTCTTGTTTCTCTAGGATATATTCCAAGGAGCAGGATAGGTGGATCGTATGGTACTTCTATTTCTAGCTTTTTAAGGAAGCGCCAAATCGATTTCCAAACTGGTTGTACCATTTTACATTCCAACCAACAGTGTATAAGTGTTCCAGTCTCTCCACAAGCTCTCCAGCATTTATTATTTTGTGTTTTTGGATTAATGCTAGCTTTGTTGGGGTGAGATGATAACTCATTTGTAGTTTTGATCTGCATTTCTCTAATGGCTAATGATCGTGAGCATTTCTTCATGTGTCTGTTAGCCACCTGAATATCTTCTTTGGTGAAGTGCCTGTTCGTATCCTTTGCCTATTTTTTATTTATTTATTTAATATTTTATTGTGCCTATTTTTTAATTGGGTTATTTGTCTTTTTGTTGTTGAGGTTTTGCAGTATCTTGTAGATTTTGGAGATTAAACGCTGATCGGATGTGTCGTAGCCAATTTTTTCCCCCACTCTGTAGGTTGTCTTTTTACTCTTTTGGTGAAGTCTTTTGATGAGCATAAGTGTTTGACTTTTAGGAGCTCCCATTTATCTAGTCCCTCTTCTGGTGCTTGTGCATTGTTACTTATGGTTCGTATTGTGTTTATGCCATGTATTAGGGCCCCTAGCGTTGTCCCTATTTTTTCTTCCATGATCTTTATCGTTTTTGATTTTATATTTAAGTCTTTGATCCATTTTGAGTTAGTTTTTGTACATGGTGTGAGGTATGGGTCTTGTTTCAGTTTTTTGCATATAGATACCCAGTTATGCCAGCACCGTTTGCTAAAGAGACTGTTTTTTCCCCAATTAATGGACTTGGGGCCTTTGTCAAATATCAGCTGCTCATAGGTGGATGAGCTTATATCTGGATTCTCAATTCTGTTCCATTGGTCTGTGTATCTGTTGTTGTAGCAGTACCAGGCTATCTTGATTACCGTGGCAGTATAATAGGCCCTAAAATCAGGTAGTGTAAGGCCTCCCACTTTGTTCTTCTTCTTGGGTAATGCTTTATTTATTTGGGACCTGTTCCCTTTCCATATGAAGTTGGTGATTTGTTTCTCCATCTCATTAAAAAATGCTTGTGGAATTTGGATCAGGATTGCATTGTATCTGTAGATTGCTTTGGGTAGAATTGACATTTTCACTATGTTGAGTCTACCTATCCATGAGCAAGGTATATTTTTCCACTTACGCAGGTCTCTTTTAGTTTCTTGCTGTAGTGTCTTGTAGTTTTCTCTGTATAGATCTTTTATGTCTCTTGTTAGATTTATTCCTAAGTATTTTATCTTCTTGGGGGCTATTAAAAATGGTATTGATTTGGTGATTTCCTCTTTGAGGTTCTCTTTCTAGGTGTAAAGGAATCCAGTTGATTTTTGTATGTTTATCTTCTATCCTGAAACTTTGCTGAAATCTTCTATTAGTTCCATTAGTTTTCTTGTGGATTCTTTTGGGGTTTTCTGTGTATAAG